TATAATTTCTTATACCTTCTTTGTGTAAGATCTTATAAGATCATACAAGATCTTGTACATTCCTATGATAAGAAAAATCTTGTAAAATCTTATAAGAATCTTGCTACAAGATGTCATATGAAATCTTATAATTTCTTATAGGAAATTGATAAGATCTTTTGAAATCTTATAATTTCTTATTATACGATCACCCAAGATCGTACATGATCTTGTAAGATCTTCCCAGATCTTGTTATCTAATCCTTGGACCTGAGTAGTTGTCCAAGGATGAGTAGAGGTTTGCTGAAGGCTATGTGTGGATGATAATTAAAGACCAATGTTTGATAACTCTTTTAATTTCGAGTCTGACAATAAATGCGAATATTGTTCTGATATTGGAAAATTTTTCGAAGCTGGATTTTCAGAGGATCTTTGGAAAACTAGCTTGGATTTTCCGAAATTCAAAGAGGAGTCTATTGATTGTTTTGAGGGCATATACATCCGAAGTGTCCTTTACAAAATCGAACGTAAGCGACATCTTGAAAACCCATGGTCTCGCAGTTATAAACATTGTTCCTGAAGCCTTAGCACTCCACTGCCGTTAGGTTTGGGACTATCAGAAATGAACAAAAACATAGATTATCGACTATGTTGAATCTCGTGGTAATGTTAGTTTTCAAAACAAAATGCAAGAACCGAGTGAAAACCCATAGTAGGTGATATAACCCATTTTTAATTATTTTCGTCAAAAATTAAAAAATTCATTTTTGAACTGGAAATCCCGCTTCCAAAAATTTTTCATAAATCGGATTTTGCATGTAGAAAGTTCGCCTCAAGTCTTGGCTATCGAATGATGAAAATTGCAAACCTCTATTTTATTTAGTACTGAGTTATTCAAAAATAATCATTGTTCTTGTATTTTGGCTCCGATAGTAGTCAATTGCAACCACGCTGATCACAAAATATTTTTCTAATTTTATTAAATCGACCATAGAACGCTCGACGAACATCAAAGCTGAAAACCAACTGTGTTTTATAAAGATATTAGAAGCGATATTCGACGCTTTTATCAAAAACCAATGTCATGATGAACAATATTCGCATTTATTGTCAGACTCGAAATTAAAAGATTTATCAAACATTGGTAAACGGCTGCTACGTTTATAGACAATGGCGAACTTGATGGTTATTTCCCAAAAATATTGTGAAATGAAAAGTGGCTTTGTTGCCCCTCGTCCTTTTGTTAAGACAGTTTACCAGATATGCTTCTGAGATAGAAAAAAGTTTTATTTTCGATAAAGAATGGTCAGAAACGACACGGAAAACAAAACATCGAATGCACTAAATTTCGCATATTTATAACCAAAATTTTCAGCTTGATTCAATGGAATTATAAGGAATCATAATGATACGAGACTGAACGCAGCTGTGTTGGAGGTTTTGTAGAATGTAAGAGCAAACTACTCTCTTTTATGTGTACGCTTTGTGGAAGTGTGCTTATGACGCTGTCAAAAAACATTGGACAAACCTTGCGAACATCTCAACTTTTTTGAAGAGAAAATTTAAGTTTCACTCGAGCCAGGCTGAAAAACATACCGGATCTCGACTTAGCTCGTTATCGGTTGTCTATCTGAGGTGAAAGTATATTATTACATAATATTTTTAAGCAAGAATGAACACTGTACAGAAAAATAAATTGATTGTTTGAGACAAAGACGACGATAAAAACCTACTTCTGTAGAGATAATAAAACATTTGAAACATCCAAGGAGAAAAGAAAATACAAACTCGTAGTTTTGAAAGCGTTCCTGTAGACCTGGAAAGATTTATAGCTAAAATAATTATAACTCTAAATTTTTGACAAGAACTTCATTTCCGTTTATCGTTAATAATACTTTTGTATTTGTTTAAGTGACTTTGTTCATTCTCAAAATTTTTTCTCTTTAGTCGATAATGGTTACTAATATTTTAGTTCAGTTTTAGAAACTTGAAGTGGAAAGGGCACTATTTTTTTCAAATGCGTTAATTATATCCCTATCGACGTAATCTAGAAAATAAGTATCGGTTCTCAATCGTTACGGATCTAGTGGAATACTGGAATTGTCGAACATTAGAAATTCATATATATGAATAATTTTTTATTCTATTCATTATGTCATTCAAGATCGTTCGATTATTATTATAAAAATCGATTAATTCTGGACCTGTTAATTGTATATTGAAATTTACAGCACCAGTTTTCGATTTCGATATGGACGTTTGTCGTAATAATAATTCGAACGATTTCAATGTATTGTTAAATTGATCAATTAAATTTTTTAAATCCTGTTGATTGTTCTTTGATAATGTTAATGTATTCAGTTTATTATCAATTGATTTTCCATGAAATAACAAATAGGATACGAGTATAATAATAAGAATGAATAGTCCAATAGCAAAGATTCTATCTCCTAATATAATCGATAATGGTACCGGTGAACATTTTCGATGAGTTGGAGACAATTTTTGATGTCGTTGATGACAGTTATCATCGCTTAGTTCGATTTTAACATTACGATTATGTAATGTTTCAATTGGTGTTTGAATCGAATTTATTCCAACGTTATTATTATTATTTATTTTTGTATTTAAGGGTACGTTTGAAAAATCTGTAACATGTTTATCTTCTTGAAATCGCGGTGGAGGTTGGTCTAAAAATTCAGCGTCATTTCCCATCTTTGACTAATAAAGTCCACGATGGATAAGATATCTAAATAGATGAGAAATGATAAGTGAGTTTTTGTCATCCTTATCATATTATAGTCCATGGTGTTATAATTCATCGCATTTTTAACTTTTTCTACTAACTGACGATTATACAAGTGCACGATGGAGTCGATTATAGTCAAAAATCAAAAAATACACAAACTAATACTCAACGTGAGATGCATGTAACGAATGATAACTTTATGTGAATTAGTCAAAAAAACTGATCAGGATGAGTGTGTCCAACAAGTATGTAGAATAAATACGAACATAACCAAAAAATAGATAAAAGAAACCGTACTACATGTGTATAAACTAATCATGTTCCAATAGAGTCTGTTACATTTACTATGAGTTATTTAGTTAAATAATGTAGAAAAAGAATAACTTTCTCCTCTCTTTCTCGACCAACCGTTTTTCTCATGCGAAGAGAAATAAAGAATGATTCGCGATAGAACTATGTGAAAATCGCCTTGTCTATCAGTATAACTCAGGATACTTTTTTATGTAATGGATGAAACTACAGAATTTTTTTTTTTACTGAAAATTGACATTTTCTACATATATTCTTTATTCTATTCTTAACTCATAATTCCATTGGCTCTCGTACTAGTGTGGCTGAAACGTTCTGCTATAACTAATGTGTGTAAAATAGTTTTAATTTGACAGCAATTCATTAATAATAATAAACTATAGCCGTTTTCGCAGATATCTCATACAGCAAGACAGTTTAAAGGTTTAAAGTAAGTAATTCAAGTAACAGAGGCGATCTGTTTTACAGTCTGCAATGCTATTAGTCAACTGTTGAGTTTTCTACAAATTTGTTCTATTATCAAATATTTGCTTTGAATATTGATTGATACTACCGCTTATTGATTCGTTACAGTGCTTCTTTTACTCTTACCGATCTTATTAGTATGTAGGTATCTATCATTCTAGATGAGTATATTGACTATATTTTTTTTCATATTTACATTTATTCTGTAAAGATAGGGGGGTATATGTCATCATCAATCTAACACCTTTCTTGACGATACAAAACTGAAGTAATACAAAATCAGAAATCAAGAATAGAGCTCGACACATCTTCCTCTTCTGTAAACGATAATTTTCTTTGTTTCTTCAATTGAGATTCGCCAACGGTAGTAAATATTTATTTTGTCGACTGTGTTTATTAAAAATAATCTATACTTGTGTACTACGACTAATTCAAATTGTTATAATGATGATTTCGTAGTGAATAACGAAAACAGAGATGCATGTGAAAGAGAAAGTGCAGAAAAGCGAAATTGTTTAATCAAATATAACACACTGGTACGCCTCATCAAACATACATACATAAAAAAGTTCAAATCAACATCATATCATGAGAACTGGCGAAAAGTTATCTACGTCGTAAATGCATTATCTTTCGTTTATTTTGTTGATCGCATATAATGTCAAAGGAGGATTTTAGAAAGCTTGCATCTTTAGATGTGAAATCGCTTTTTGCTAAAAAATACTTTTTTATTAGTAATTTATGCTCCTCAGCCCGAATCGGATATCCATTACAGTAGTGTCGCTTGCCTCAGGTCGATCCTTGAAAGCTCGATATCCAGAAGCCCATTGACAAGATTCGAATCAAAATATTCTAATCCATTCAATTTCTAGAGTACATCAAATTATGTATTTCTAGAAGTTTTGAAAATTAACGGTTATATTTTCTTGTTTAACTGAAATGAAATTTCTCCATAATAAAAAACTTCACAACTCTGAGAAAACATAGCTGTTAATTTTCAAAACTTCTAGAAATACATAATTCGATGTGCTCCAGAAGTTGAACGTTTTGATTCGAACCGCAAATTCAACGTAAAATTCTGAATCGTTCGTATCATATGTTCAAACATTCTAACTGTTGACTCAACAGTTAAAGCGCTTGAAGAAAATGATTGAGTAAAAAGTGTTTTACAAATACATATAGATTATTATTTTAGTAACAACTCTGATTTCATTTGTCTAATCCTATGCTATACAAACTAGGTTAACTCGAAACAAATTTGACTTATAGATGGAAGCACAAAAATCTATTTGATTGTTATATATCTAATACTCTGCATCATATCAATTTTTGCCGTTTGAGAGATGTTGTTCGTACTTACTAAACATGCCAACAAAGAATTACTCTCCACTTGTCTGTCTTAAAGAGAATACAAGCTTTTCTAATATGTGTGTTCAATGAAAACGTACTACTACTTTTGATATGTGTTATTATCTTATATATGATAGTATTTGGGGAATTAGAAATTTGAAGTTAGTGATATATAAAAACTTATGATGTGTTTTCGATACGGACAAATGGAATATTTCACGTATTCATTCAGTCTAGGTTTTTTATAATGAATGGTAGGTGATTATTTCACTGTGCATTTTTAACTCCTTTTTACATTGAATATATAACAATAAAAATCACTTTCTGTTTTTCCTCTTGATATCTAGTAATAAATGATACTTTTCTCGTATTTTTCTTTTTTAAATAAAGATCGATGGCAGATCAGAACAGGCCAGAAGTTCTAACTATTGAAGCACGATCTAACGTACACTCTCAATTCACATGAATAATTTAACTATCAGAGTCTCGAATACTGACACAATATTCCACGTACAACGAGTAGTAATTATGTCATACTTCTAGGCGTGTTAAAATTTACTTTCTAATTCTGGATATATCTCACTTTGAATTTTGCCTTATGTCGTGTTTCTGAATGCACTTGATATCTGTGACTGAGATTTGATGGTCTCTGCAATTAGAGAAAGAAATAAAGAAAAAAAAGAAATAAAGAAAAGAAAGAAATATACATATTCTCTATTTCTTTTACCATCTTTTTTTTTATGAATGCATAAAACAATAGAAAATAGAATTATTAATTAAATCTTAAGGCCTATGGTTAATGAGGCAGTTACACATCTTTTGACAAGATGTGACATTTATCGGCAGGAAATTGATTTTTAAATCGTATTGTGAATGATAAGTTAGCGAGATAATTCAAACACATTTGACACAATCGTATCACTCGAAACGTATAAAATTTTTCTTGTTAATACTTGAAGCATGATGTTTAAGTGGCTCTTGTTGTTTACTTCCAATAGGCAACCATTTGTGCATTTAAGAATCAACTCTCGCACTTTATTCAACAGCTGGTGTTAAATGATAAAGAGCACTAAATCGAATATTATTTTATAAATCTTTGTTTTCTATTAATTTACACTTTTATAGCAAGATAAGTACGAAGAATATTATGTTTTTAAGTCATAATACGAATAGAAAGTTCAATATGATTTAAAAGCAAATGTTATCATAGATGAACTGTGATTATGAAAAATACAATAGGAAAAATACTTTATTACAATCACATCTTTTATAGGTAGAGATACAATAACTTGAGCTGTTTCATTTAAACGGAAGACGCACCAAATATTTATGAAGACTATTGCTACACTTGTAATCATTGTGTTTATGGTTTCTTTAGTTTATTGTATATTATTTTAGTATAATTGATTAGAGGAAATGTCTAGAACACATGTGTTATCAATTTATTCCAAACATCAATGTACTCGTTTGATCTTCCTATACAACTTATTCTTGCTAATTTTTTTTCTATACTTATCTATGCTCAATGGTTCGTTTCCCTTTGCTTCACCTTCATTAGAAGAAAAATGATGTCAATTTCAACTAGGTGAACGTACAGATTGCACAAATCTTGAGAATGATATGATTCATTAACAACTCTTCATATATTCAGTCTAATGATTTTGTGGCTTGATTATTATTTTTCGTAGTGTAAAACACATTCATATTTTAGCAGACCATGTGAAACAGTAGAAGAATGATAATATTATTCTATGTTAACTTTCTACCTTCTTCTTTATAATAGCAGTGGTAATATTATCGATTCATTCAAAAAGCGAAACAGACTTATTTATTATTTTGCATATATACGAAGATTGAATTTTCTTATCTAAATGAAGATGATTTATTTGCTCATCGAAAGCAATTATAAACACAAAGTTTGAATAATATGTGCTACTGATATAGTGTACTAGATTAGAGAAGTCAGATGAAGTAAAAATCGAAAACTTTCTGACAGAAACACAAAATATCTCACTGAGAAATCTGGGAATATTATTTGCTCTTCTGAGATCATGACTGTTCTAGAAGAAGTGAAAATTTCTAAGCAGATGAAATATGACTTAACCATGGTTCGACAGCTTATAAAGAGAAGATCCTAATGCACACAGCTCACTGATTAGCTTTGCATTTATTGTGAGGAAAAAGCCACTCATCGAACTAAGACGTTTTCAGTTAACACTTGTCTTGGATCATGGAACTAAAAACGCTGCGGAAACACATACTCCTACGTTGTTCATAACGGAGAACACGAATATGTGATGTTTAGTAAAAAGTTCGAATTTTCACAAGTTTTCGGTTTTGAGGTATCTGAGCAACTAGATCTCAGTACTTTTCAAAGTTTTTTTACGATAAATAGGGCGTTTGTTTAGATATACATAGCTAACTGTTATTCCAATAGGTACGTCATCAGGAATGTTAAATCACAACAGGGGCGGCGGAACCACGGGAGCTGTGAGTGCTTTGGCACCCACAGATTTTGAATGTATAAAATCTCTGGATGCTGAGCGCCCACAGAATTTGTAGACGTAGAGTGTGCGGAGACAAGCAGTTCCCACAGGTTTTATGCTCTCATAGTTAATCTTCGATATACAGATGTGCATGTTGTAGGCAAACCTCAAATTAAAGTTTTGCCTGAAGTTTTTCTAGGCTAAATCCTATTTACGTTTCGTCTGAGCAGATTTAAAATTTGCTTGTCTAGTACTCCAATTTTGCTTGTGACTAGACCAAACTTGAATCTAAAGCTGGAATTTCGGTTTTGGCTGAACATAGTTAGAAATTAAAATTTTCACACAATCTAAAAATATTACTGATTTCGATCACTATCCAGTCAGTTAGTACGCGATTCAAAGGAAGAAGAAAAGGCTACTGTTATTTGGACTGATGCCGAACGTGATGAGAAGTCAGTCGTTTTCTGAAAACCATATAGAAATAAAAGGGATTCGCCATAATTAGGATTTTCATTTTCATTTTCACTTTCATTGAAACTCACAGAGGCAGTGGAACCATGGGGGCTGTGGGTGCCTTGACACTCACAAATCGTGAAAATTTTCTAGCAGAAACTTGTTTTTTCTTTGCGTCTTCCCCTCATCCATAGTTTCAGAATCATTCCGCCGCCTTTGAATCAAAATTTGTGAAATCAGCAATTTTTCTTATAGAATCACAAGACGACCAGGAGTTTCTTTTCAGAAAATCAGAAGCAAAATCGGATTTTTCTAAAATGTGGAGTAAATCAGGAGATTTGTAACAAGTGCTGTTGTGTCATGAAATCTCTAGTTAAAAATCAAAAAAGTGACCAAAACTCTCCGCATATTGGTCTATTAGAGAAAAAAGGAAAGAAATTTCGTTGATTCTCATAGCTCGAACCGTATCCTCAGTCAGTTGTACGTCGTATTTACCAGTACATTTTTACGCTCGCTTACTTGCCCCAACTAGGACCGATGTGTATATGAATTATGTACGACATCTCTCATACGGTTCTATAAAATTTTCTGCTACAAAAAGATATTTACAGCAAACTTAAGTGAAATAAACTAAAACTTTTTCCTTTGTCCTTTTTTGCAAGCATCTACTTGAACGTTTTGAAAAAAACTGTAGAACTTGTGCTGTGCCTGTAACAATGGTGATTTTTTCATGATGCAAAAAAATCGTGGTAGATTATCCCACTGGTTAAGATTTTTAAATATGTGTAAATCATTTTGACAGCGAAACAGTCAAAATGATCCGTCTTCGAATCTAAGCTTTTCAGATATGAGCAATTCCGACTAGGTTTAAATACATCAGCTGAATTAGTTTGGATGTTGTGTAGAGTCTTTTTCTTCATACAAATAAAGTTTAAACCACATACAACTCTAACTTCGACTCTGACAATAACTCTTTTTGTTTTGTTCCGTTTACTTTATTTTAAGTTGTTTATTTCGACCTAACTCCAATCTGCCGAATTGAAGTTGGAATTGCCCATCTCTGGAGCTTTTGTGCATGAATATATCTAACATTAGCAGATGCGTCTGCGTTTCCGTAGAAAGCTCTCATTCTTCTTAAACTTAAGGTGAACATTTTATACAGAAGTTTATTGTAACAATGAGGATAATAAAAACACAATGCTCTTTACTACACTAGCAGGAAAAGTATGCACACTCCTTTAGTTCATTGTCTACACTAGTGATTCTATTTGAGGATGTCTCGTCAAATTAGTATCAATCAAGGAACATTGAATGTTTTAATAATGCCAAACATTTCTACGAAACATGAGCTTATTCGTCCGATGTTCGTGTGATTAATCGTGTTCCATTGTTAGAAGTGGCAGGAAGAAGTACCTAGAGTGACTGCTTTACATACGTCTAGAGACATCAGTTGCATTTGTGTCTATGCAACAAAAGTAATTTTTATATTGCAGCAGGCGAAAACCATTATCAGAAAACATGTCTGCTTATCTATATCACCGAACCGAAATAACTGAATTTCTCTTTTTCTGGAGAGATGTATAAACTCGTTCAGTTCAGCATTATTTCCACAAAATTTCTGTAAAATATATAGTGACAATCTTTTTAGATAGTTCCATTTACAATCGTCTTTTTACCAAAATGTTTGTTCAACGTCGTGTACTAAATGTTTGTCGTAAACATTTACAGAGAATAAATCACGAAGAATCATTCATTCGTGTAAATATACTTTAATTGAGACCTTAGTACTTAAATAAAGTTCAACATTTTGATCTCTTTTTCAGGCATCGATACAAGCTCAATCTGTTCGTCAGAAAAGGTAACTTTTAAATGTTCCCTTTCAAGTGATTTAGTAACTGATTTTTATTCGTCTATAGTGATATAAAAGATAGTAAGGTGAAAGGCAATGTAATTGGAATTGATCTTGGGACAACAAATTCATGTGTGGCAGTTATGGAAGGAAAAACACCCAAAGTATTGGAAAATGCCGAAGGTAAGAGTAAACTCATATACATCTCAAGTTATCGATCATCTTATTTTTATTTCTCGACCAGGGATGAGAACAACGCCATCGGTAGTGGCATTTACAAAAGAAAATGAGCGACTGGTTGGTATGCCAGCTAAACGTCAAGCCGTAACGAATCCACAAAATACATTTTATGCAACAAAACGTTTAATCGGTAGAAAATTTGTCGATGATGAAGTAAAGAAAGAAATGTAAAAAAAAGCTAACTGTTATTTTATTGTTCATGATTATACCAATCGGTGTATCTATCTTGCAGGAAAAATGTGTCATTTAAAATTGTCAAAGCCACGAATGGTGATGCATGGGTAGAAGCTCATGGAAAAATGTATTCACCAAGTCAAATAGGTGCATTTGTTTTGACAAAAATGAAAGAAACAGCTGAAAATTACTATGGAACTCCGGTTAAAAACGCTGTTATCACGGTGCCTGCATATTTCAATGATTCTCAAAGACAGGTATGAGAGAAAGATATGTTTTCAATAAAAAATATCTAATGAATATAGAATTTCAGAAAAGATAGTGGAAAACTTTGCATCTCATATGACAGAGAGTCATTTGACTTCGAAAAATTATTTAAATATGGATCTACCGCTTTACTAATATACTATTCTTATTTATTATAGGCCACAAAAGATGCTGGCCAAATTGCTGGTTTAAATGTTCTTCGAGTAGTGAATGAACCGACAGCGGCTGCCCTCGCTTATGGTCTTGAAAAAACAAATGACAAAGTGTAAGTAGAAAAGCAACAAGCCGATATACTACTTATTTTCAATTTTTTGATTTTCAGTATTGCTGTATATGACCTTGGAGGTGGCACATTCGATATTTCCATCCTAGAAATGCAAAGTAATGTATTCGAAGTGCGATCGACAAATGGTGATACATTTTTGGGTGGCGAGGATTTTGATAATGCTTTACTAAAACATTTAATAGAAGTATTCAAGAAAGAAGTATGCAAGTACTCGTTTGTTTAAGATTTTGTCAACATTTTTGTCTTGTTTAGAGCGGCATAGACATAACAAAAGATCCACAGGCAATGCAGAGGCTTCGTGAAGCAGCTGAAAAAGCAAAGTGTGAATTATCATCGGCAGCACAGGTGAGAATAAAAGAAGTGATACAATCTGTTCTTCCATTAACATTTCATCTGTTCTAGACGGATATTAATTTGCCATATTTAACAATGGATTCATCTGGACCAAAACATATGAATTATAAATTATCACGCTCACAATTTGAAAATCTTGTTTCTCATCTTGTTAAGAAAACAGTCGGTAAACAAGGAACTCAATTTGGAGCACGTTGCAGACACTGGAGCGTTTTCTTGTTTCTACAGAACCATGCCAAAAGGCCATCAAAGATGCCGATGTGAAACTACAAGATATTAATGAAGTTATTCTAGTTGGTGGTATGAGTCGTATGCCAAAGGTAATTTTATTTTGTTGGCATTAATAGAATTAAAGAAGAGCGTGCGGTAGATATAAATAGCATTTTTGGCCGAAAAAAATCGTTTCTATTTACGTTTTCAGGCTTTTTTTATTAGACATATACATATCATTTAAAAACAGGAATAATTTTTATAAAGAATTTACGTTTTGAGGAGATCTTTTGGAATCGACTGTAGTTCTACAGAAATAAGAATAGTAAATATAGTGCAGAGTTATTCCCTTCAAAATGGGTATCAAGTGAGACTTTAATGTTCAACGGTTCGGATGTGGTATTGAATTTCATTAGTCTCAGGAGTGGCAGACGGCAACTAGGAGTAACCTTAAAATTGTCTGGAACACACTTAATGTACCGCGCTAGATCTAATGACAGTGAAAAAACATTACAAATCTGACAAAACAAGAGTTTTATAGACTATTTTCGTCTTAGAATAGAAAAATGTATAACCTTCTCAAAATGCGCCATAAGGCCCGTTGATTTTGTTCACAAAACATGATTATGCTTAAAGATGGAAAATCTATCGATCTCTGAAAATTCTTTACGGAAAAACTATAATGTTTTGTATGTTTCTGTAGTTTTTTATCAATAAGATATAGCATACTGTATGCTGAATACCATACATCATGAAGTTTCCAAGTCATTATGATGTGTTTTGAGAGGGTTATCAATTTTTTCCTAATCATTGAAAATTAAAGTACCACTTGGAAGAGGGCACTTTCGCCCATCCACCTTTGTTGTTGATTTAAATTCTGCATCAACTTGGGAAATGAAGTGTTAATATTGAGCAGAAAAAGCAGTTATTTTTCTAGTAAATCTAGACATTCTATATTTTCTCATAGAAAAGTAACATCTTTGATATCATTAGTGAGATAATTAGAATGGTATCGATTACCTGTTCCGCTTTTTCTTTTCTACTGAAGTTGAATAAGACCCTAGTACGTCTTTTATATGATGAGAAAACGAACTTTCTACACAATGTTTTATTAAATTTACCACTAGAGTGTATTATCATAGATAGTTGTTTTCATCCTATTATGCTTTTTCGGTTCGGTACCTTTCTCTTTGTTTTCTGTCTCGTGTATCGTGCGTATCGAAAAAAATATTATATATGTATGTACGTTGCATATGTCTAAAAGATCAGACGAGCGATATGTGTTTGAGAAAGAAGTTATAATTAAAAAATAAATCGTAGTCGAATTTATTAGGAGATACTAGTGATTTATCTAGGTTCCGGAGGAGTAGGTAGATATTCCTAGGACGCTACTGTATAATATGATATTTTTTTGCGAAATTGTTACTTTTCGGCAGTATGGTGAACTGGAATACTGGTGGGGTACCACTCATCGAATCCGATCGCTAATAAATCACTGGAAAACACATACATACATGCTTGATTTGATGAGAGATTTGAGTAAGATTCACAATAGAGCCTCGTAAAAGTAGATTCGAACTAAGCGCATCAATTGGCTTTTCTCACGATAAGCCATTGAAAGTTTTGGCTTTGTAAATTATTTCTTCTGGACTTTCCCATGTGTTTTACACTCAGAAGGGACGGGCCTAATTTTAAACTGAAGGTATATTTATTTCTTTACTTTCATTAAACACTTCTTTTTAAGGTACAACAAACTGTGCAAGAGTTATTTGGTAAATCACCAAACAAATCCGTCAATCCAGACGAAGCCGTTGCAATTGGTGCTGCTATTCAGGTACAGAACATTAACTTCTATCGTTGTATAGTTTTATCCGAAATTAGTTGCGTCTTATTTTAGGGTGGTGTACTTGCAGGAGATGTCACTGACCTTTTACTATTAGATGTAACACCATTATCATTAGGTATCGAAACACTAGGTGGTGTATTTACAAAACTTATCAATCGTAATACAACAATTCCAACAAAAAAAAGTCAAGTATGGATCGCGAATAGATTAATATTTGAGATTAAGTGAGAAATATGCTGTTGTAGGTGTTTTCAACAGCGGCAGATGGTCAGACACAGGTCGAAATTAAAGTTCATCAAGGTGAACGTGAAATGGCCCTTGACAACAAATTGTTAGGTCGTTTTAATCTGGTAAGTAAAGTCGATTTAGCTTGAATCACATCGTTTATGTTGATATGCTTTTTATAGGTTGGTATTCCACCTGGTGAGAATATTTTTTAGTTGCGTTTGATAAATAAAACCCTCCTTTAATCAATTTTCTAGCACCTCGTGGTGTCCCTCAAGTTGAAGTAACATTTGATATTGATGCAAATGGTCAGTACCTCTTGCTTTGGTGACAATTAGATAATTCAAATTTGTCTTTTCTTCTCAGGTATTGTACATGTGTCAGCACGAGATCGCGGAACTGGAAAAGAGCAACAAAGTACGAAGCACCACTATAACTATTTTTATCTGTTAATCCTCTCATTTATGATATTTTTAGTTGTCATACAATCTAGTGGCGGTTTAAGCAAAGACGATATTGAGAACATGGTTCGTGGAGCAGAAAAATATGCAGCTGATGATAAAAAGCGTCGTGAAATAATAGAAGAAGTAAATCGCGTTGAGTCAATATTACATGATACAGAAACTAAAATGGAAGAATTTAAAAGTCAATTACCACAAGACGAAGTAATATATTTGTTTTTTAAACCTCAAGAAAAGCATGAATAACTATCGATTAATTTTTATTTTTTACTCTTTAGTATCAAAAATTAAAAGAAGGCTCAAATAAATTACGTGAACAACTCTCGAATAAAGATAACATATCTTTACAAAGTATTAAAGAATCAGCCGATGAATTTCAACGACAAAGTTTACGACTTTTCGAAATGGCATATAAAAAAGTATATATTTTGCTCTTCAGTCTACAAAACTTAACGCATAGCTGCTCATTTTACAGAACTTTTTTGTTGAAAAGTCGAGAAAGGTTATGCCAAGCTATAGATACTACACAGATATACCTTCTGTACTTTTTTCTGTCGAGATGGCCCAGTAACTTAAATATTAATTTAGTATCTCGTTAAGAATAGATCAAAAAATACGTTTTATAGACGTGAAAAAACAATGATAAATGTAGAAAAAAACCATCTCAGAGAATCAAATTTAGAACATTTATTCTATTGTATAGATGCAATCTGATCGTGAAGGTAACCAATCTCAATCATCATCATCCTCTTCATCTACATCAGATAGTGACGAACAGCAACAAGACAAAGAAAAACAAGAAAACAAGCAATAGAAAATCTGAAATTTGTCTACTGTATATCTATTAAAATAAAGCAGTTCTATTTGCCTACACAAGTGAATGAATAAATGCATTTTGAGTGTTTATCTGTTTGTTTTTTCTTTCTTTCTTTTCTAATAATGAATGATTCATTTAGTTATATTTGTTTCTGTCTTTAGTAATCTATCTTTTTTTGCTATGTTTATAATTATGTTTCATTGTACTTCTCTTGCTTTTTAAAAATGTTAGTATAATTGATTTTATATGTTTCAAATTGAGAAAAAAGTAAAATAAAAAATTAGTATTATATTTGGAAAGAATGTTGTACGATTTACTAAGGTTAACATAAAATATATTATAAATTAATCGATTGTTTACTAAAGTTTGTTCTTTTTGTTACCTGCTTTTGTACAAAATAAATGCAAGTGAGAAAAATTTAATTCGTGTTGAAAAGTCTCTAAATAGTTTCACTGTGTAAATAAAAAAAGGAATTTAGATATACTTGATTAATTACTAAAACTTAGATGCAAAAGGGAAGGAGAGTTTATAAACGACGAAGTATTCAACGAAAAGTTGTTTTAATTTTCGTATTACATTCGTTGAAAACGCATTTATCTGTAACATAAAAACACTTACAGACATAGATTGGCAAGGTTTGATTTCGATAATATTGCCTTGATCTTAATTGCAATCAACCTTTTTCATATATCACTAAACATACATAATATGCTAAAGTACTTTAAAATAATCAAATACATAAAAAAAGAGACACATTCAAGATACGTTCAATTTACTGAGAACAAAGGTTTTTATCACACTCTTTCTTTGCATTCTTTACGCATTTTTCACAGCTGTTTTTATTATTTTTTATAGTGCTGATAAATAGTCTTCAAGTTTCAAAACATAATCTTCCAATAAGACAATTCGAAACTATCTTCTACAACGCACATTACAAGTTTTTATCTATTGATACTACAATACTATATATACCAAATCATGTGTCTTAGTGAAAAATTTTTGGCTTTCAGCATGGATGCATTCATCGCAATTATGAGTAATAAATGGACTGTGAACAACTTATAATGCATCAAGCACAAAATTACCTTGAATGAGATCAAATATATGTCAAGACGACATTTTTATAACATCTTAAATAATAAAATTTGATGAAGATAAAATAATATGTCAATTAGACGAGAAAAATACATAACAGATAGTTGCTCTTTTTAATAACAACAATGAATTTGATGATTATAATGATCTTTTGCAATTCATGTGACTGAAAAAATGCATTTACCTTTTCTATGGATATCTTCAAAGACAATTTTAGAACAAATCAAAATAATTTTCAATTCCTTTTTCAACATTATAATCTTAATTACGCCTGTGAATAATATGTGGCTGCTATCGTCTATTCTCAATCATCACTCCTATTTCTTTCGAAGGCTGAAATATAACGTCTTCTATGATATAGATGAACTCAACTAGCCAACTTTTCATATCTGAGGTGGTTAAACAAAACAAAAGCAAACAATTTCAAACCTAGTTCAAGTTACAGGCTCTGTTAACGTTTTACAGGCTCTTGACTAAAAACGTAAAGGTTCATAACCTTTGTAAAAACAAAAAGCTCGTCAAACACTGGGTGTGACTTTATTTTGTAGTCCAGACTCTACCTACAGACCATATTCAACTCAGTATAAAAAGTTTGGGGGGAGGTTTACGCTTAAATACACACAATCTGTGTGCGAAAGTGACAACTAGTTACCGGTTCAGCGAGGCTTTTCTGCAAACGTTTATCAATAAGTCTTTAGGTTAAATACACAAATTCTATTGAAAGAATTAAGAAAATATGAAATTTTGTCCAAATAACTAAAACTTGGATATATTTATATTTGTATTAAGTTTCAGTTGTTCATACAAGTGAATATATACACGTCTTTAATTATGACACGATATATGTATGTACTTATAGAAAAACAAGAGAGAAAAAGAGAGAAATAAAGAGAAATAAACAGAAAAAAGATAATAGAGGGCTCATACATATGCAAAACATGACGTGCACAAACACAAAAACGCATACACATTACAATCTTTATTCTTTATCATCACATAATAAAAACAAACAAACAATTTTTAAATACCACATGATTGTTTTTTCTTGTTAGCAAGTAGACAAAAAATAACACTTTTCGTTTGGTTAGTATATCGATATTGCTACTGTTTTAGAACAAGAAAAAAAAGAGAAAAGGATCTTTTTTTCTGCTACTATGAAATGCTAACAAAATGATCTCAGCAAACGTGCAAATATTTTCAAAATTAATTTACTATTTCTGGAATATATAGATATACTCTAGCAAATAGAAGAATTTGTGGAAATGGTGACAAAAACAAAATGCAAAGTGAAAAACAAGACATGTTTGTTAAATACAAAAGAAAAAAAACAAGAGTGAAGAAAAGTTTATCTATGTATATATGCACTGTTAATATATAAATAAGAGATAGAGAGATAGAAAGAGAAAGAGAGAGAGAGAAAACATGAAAAGCTAGAGAACATGAAAGTGATTATTGAGATACAAAAAAACAACAACAACAACCCGGCCAGAATAAGGTTTTTATCCAAAAACAACTTTTGCGCAAACCAAGATGCAAGTTATTTTTTTCGTAAACACATAAACAAACAATTAAAGTTATATGAAAAACTGTATAACGATGTTTCTTTCTACTCTGCTAGACAGTTTTCATATGATACTCATTAAAAATAAATAAAGTTAAAAACGATGCAATACCAAAAAATTAGACCAGTATTTTTTTATTTTAACAAAAAGAAAAAAAATGTCTTGGTAAAAAAGCAGAAAAAGATTGCTACCATTATGTCAGTTATTGATATAACAAATAACCACGTAAAGAATTTGGTAATTGAAGTTTATGAACTAAATGTAAACGATTTTTGCCTAATTGTTTTCGAATTGAACGACGACACGAATCCATTAAACGAAGTGGTTCAGCTAAAAAATTCAAAACATAGATAACAAGACATTTCTCAATCAAACTTCTACTCCAAAATAATCAAAAAACTTGGTAATTATCAATAGCGTGGCCAGAGCATAGATCTAGAGAATTCAAGCTGAACTCAAGTTACACTAACTGGAAAAAATAGAATAAAAATATCAACTATCAACGACACTTGTTCGTCTACGCCATCCTGTCTAGCTCTTGTGAAAAGATGGTAACTTTAAGTATTGTGCTTCTTCTAAAGAATGTTGGCAAAAAATGAAAAAAATTTGTGAATAAAAATTATTATTTATCCTCACATAGGAGTAAAATAATACATAGAACTGAATTACAGAATGAAAAAAATTCAATTTGTGGGGGAAAAATCCTTTTGATTTGGTGAAACAGTTGAGTTCAATTCTTGGAAAAATCCTGCGTAAAATATTAGTAATTATTCTGTCATAGGACCTTTCTAGTACATCATAATAATTTCTATAATGATACAAGTAAGATAATAATTTGATCAACTTACGTTCTAATCCATTAATATAACGCATTGTTATTTCACAATGTCCCCATACAGATGATACCATTGGATACAATGTACCTTTGTCTTTGAGATCATTAAATGCTACACCCAAATATTGTCCTTCGACAATATATGATAAGGTTCCATCATCCATATCCAAAACAACAAGAAATTTATCAGGAACAACAAAACTTTCATCAGATTTCAATGTAGTTGGATAAGTTTGACCATTATTATTTAAAGCATCAGCATCCAATGATGATGAATTTGTTTGCGCTGCTGATGTTGTTGATGGATAAACACTATTAACACCTTTATGATACAATTTATTTCGTCCTAAATCCCAACCCCATGATTCTTCATTTCGTCCGACTAATGCCTGATAGCCAGGACAGTGTAACGATGCTTTTATTGTGCCGACACCAACAACTGCATGTGTGCCACGTTCTAAAATAAACACACAAAATAATAAGCAGAAAGCAGGAAATACAAAATACGTACGTCTTGTATTCCATTCGAGTTCCCAAACATGTATACCAGTATTAAATCCTTTTTTACAACGTACTGCATCTAAAAATGAGAAAAAAGTTTTAATCATTACGTGAAGAACAACAGCGAAGAAATATATATAACTTACCTGTACTTTGTGCGACAGGCTAAAAGAAAAAGACCAAAGTATAAGTAAATAGAATAATCAGATTCTTGTTTAATCTAGCTCAAGAAATATGTGATATAGTTTACTTACATGTCGATGAAATGTACATGGATCATTATGTTTCACAAATATGTTTAATGATTTATCATCTTGATTCCAACCGTATTCTATCTGTTTCTCACGTTGACACGGTGGTCGATCAAGTAAAATGTCTAGGCGAACTGGAAAATGTTGATGTGGTTCCAACGATGGATGATTTGTGATTGTTAAATGATTTGAAAAAGGTGACCAAAAATAATTTGAATTATTATTGTTGTTATTATTATTGTTGTACTGAAGAGACAACAGAGATGTTGAGGAAAATGATTGTGTTAAATCTTGTGTTTGAACACCAGTTAATGAACGCAATGTTTTGCCATTTCTTATTCCCATCGAATATTTATTTTTTGCTCTAGTTGTTGTTGATGATGATGATATTGATGGTGATGCTGTTGTATTTCGTCGAGTGGTCAACTCCAAGCGGCCAACAGTTGTAGCCACGACGGGCGACGACGCTAATAAGCTTTCTCTTAATCTTGAACGTAGTGGATACGTTTTATTAATAGCAATACTGGAAGATGATGATGATGATAGTGGTAGGGATATTTCAATATTTTCAGTGGAAGTTGTCGAGATTGTTGCTGTCACACTGTTTTCCTTTAAATGACGACGACTACGGCGAAGTGTGATTGTTGCAGGAGATGATGACGCTGAGGACGTGTCTGCTCCAACACGCTAGAATATTATAAAAATGAATTTAAAATAAAGCATAGTCAGTTTGGCAAGAAAATCGACCAGGATCAAATCAAAATAAAGATGTGACGGGAAAATGTTAAATAGAACATGCGAGAGCTCAAATTCTGAACATGTTTTGCGGATACCCTGTCTCTCACGAAAATTAATAGTTATTACAGTCAATTGAATAATTACCTTAATATTTTTCTTCTGTTTTGAATGTTGTGTATTTTTGAGTGTTTGTTTTTTACCGAGAACTGAACCCACAGTCTTTTTGGTTTTGCGAGGTAGCATAGGTAAAAACGACAGCTGTTTTAAAACCACGTAAAGAGCTTTTTTTCATCGACACAATAAAACAACAAAATAAAATTAATGAATCATAAAGGTGGTGTTTTAATAAAAAATCTAAAAAGTGAATTATTTTATATTTAATTAATTACTTAAAGTACAAACTGCAGGTACAAGTAAAATGTATCAAAATACATTCCAGTGAGCACACACGATGAGCATATAGCTCTACTTTCATACAAAAAACAGATTATGAGTTTGTTCGTTAATTCTTCACAAGAAACAAAAACTTCCAAATGATCAATAAATGCTATATAAATATATGAATCCTATGCGTTGCTTCTGTGAAACTGAATGAAACTGAATAAAAATATATTCAATAGATGAACAGTATCCGCTTATCCGGTGCATTATAAACCAACACAATATACGTGTTTCGTTCATCAGAATTATATAACTTTAGTGGAAATAGTGCAGATGATAATGCTATCCAAGAACTTTTTCAGACTGAATGCTTTGATATTTGTGGCCCATTCGTTTTTTTTCTCTTAGAATTAAAAATATGATGAGAAAATAACTTTCTCGCTATTTGCAAACAAAAACACGCGGCAACAAACATAAACGCAGTGAAATCATGAGACTCAAGCAATCTACCTTCTCTTTTCATATCATCAACACAACTCAAAATGAATTGATCGATCGTCGCTGTAGGGAGCTGTATGGTTCGACCATTTTCAAATTTCTATCGTGTACTTCAGACTATGTGTATGATCAAAAATATAGATGTCACTGTTCCCACTCAAATGTTTTTTCTTAGCGACACATGCTATAAAGGTACGAGTCATACAGTTCTATAGATTTATAGGAAGAGGTATAAAACAATTTATGGGGTTCTCGTTGAAAATTAAATTTCGCCAGTGTACTTCACGTTGATGATCAACCATGAATGAGACACCTAATGAACTTATTTGATGAATATACTTGACTATTTTGTAAGTACTTGGAAAAACTAGCAAGCATTTTCAAAATTTCATCATTTGTCATCTACTTTCGCAAGTACTGCTTCATGGCTAAACATCTTGGTTTTATTTCGATGATGTACTTCGTGAAAGTACTTATCAAACAAAAAATCAATATGTAGATTTGCTTAAACTGAAAAAAGACAAGTATCGGCTTTATTACACAAGCAAAATACTTTGGAAAGACACAAGCTATGTACAAACCAGTAGGTATGAGATAGAAAATATGAGATAGAAAAAATAAGTCGTATGTATAAAATAACCAAAACGAAAGTGCCGTATAATTTTAGAAATTATCATAAAAAGACATTCATAGAGTGTCAATATAAAAAAGCGTGCTCTAAAAAGAATTTCATTTTATCCTATCAAATATGGAATGATATTTTCAATGAACCAAGCATCTGTAAATTGCAAATGATCCGTATTTGATTCGATAAATTTTAGACGTTGTTGTTCATCCAGTTGTTTAAGTCCAAGTAAATCATTTTTGTATAAATCACTATCTTTCAAATCGATTATTGTTGATGTGTCACCTTGTTTATAGAATCCAAACCATTCTGATTCGTGGGGTTCAACCATTGTATCTTTCAAAAATTTGACTAATATCATATTTCGTATTTTTAATAAATTTGTTTTATACAGTTCATTAAACGTTCCTTCTTGATTTATATCAGCTAAAGAATGTAACAAACAATTAATAGCTAAAATTAACCGATTTTTCCATCGTTAATTCATACCTAGAAATATGCTCTTCTTACGATATTCTTCTTCTTGATGAGCTGAAACAAAAATAGACATGAATGTTATGATACTTTAAGAAACAACAAAATACGACATTGAGACTGTTCTAAATCAGATTGGAGACTTTACGATATAATACCTGTTCTGATGTATTCTGAGTGAGTTATGAAATTTTGAATGGTGGCTTATATCAACTCGAAACTCTGTTTTTTTTAAATCATGGTGTGAGAGTGGTTGATTGCGTATGTTCTTTGAGCTTTTTCAAGGTTACTTCAAGTCGACGAGTACCAGTTTTGAGACTCTATGAAAATTTGTTAACACACCTGAATGGCTGAAAATCAAAGTTTCATTTGACCCCCATTTTAAGGTCTCTCCTAGGTAGAGAAAGTCGATTTTTCCAAAAAATAGAGACTTTGAGATAGATCTGCGGCTAAAATAACCCAAACGATGTACTTTCAGAATTCATATCGATTTCTCTCTTTGAAATCATATATTCCATGGTTTTCACGCAAGTTTTCTAGAAGTCTCATAGAAATATCTTCACTGCTGTTACAGTGAAAATCGTATTGAAAGTTCTACCCCCCCCCTCGTCTTTAGTTCTACCCTGCTCATTAGTAAAAATCGCAAGTCGGTAATCTTCGTTCAAAAAAAGTTATTGAAAATTTATCCATGCTTTTGCTATTTTGTAAAGGATAGTAACTAAGAAGTAAATATTACTCACGATCATGCCAATATTCAGCTTGAACAAGATGGTCTTGGATTATTGTTTCATATGCACCAAACCGTAAAAGATCACGGATATAGTTACAAACTGTGACATTGTCTCCAGGACATCTTGGAAAACCAAAAACTCCTTGATGTTGACCACCAATTGAAATCAGATTTAACATTGGTGGATTTGGACATCGTTGAGCTACTGCCCGAAAAAACTGGCCGCCTTGTGAAAAGCCTAATGAATGATAACCTTGTGATAGATTTTTATTTGCTTCTAGTTTTTTACAAACATAATCAATTTGATGATTTATATTCATAAAAAATCCATTGGATGTATCTTCTACGATATTATTCCCAATTCTAAGAGATAAAATATACGGTGATGGTGTAATAGTTTTTTCAATTAATTTAATAATTGATCCAATCGATAGTGGATTACAACATGAATCACCCATTCCATGCCAAATGACAATTGGAGGAGAGGAGAGAGTTGAATGAATATGAAGGAGAATGAAAAAGAAAGATGTAAGGAAGTATAAAATCATCTCTAAAACAGTTAATGTAATTTGATCTTTGTAGACTGCCAAATTTATAAGCTAAGTAAAAATTTTACCAATTTGTCTAGCTATACATAGACAACAGAAATATTTTTCTATTTACCATTTCTTGACTTCTTTCAAATTCCTAGTTGTAAGATTTGAAACATATTGACAACAGACTGTATAAGATATAAACTATGGTAACAAATTCCGCAGCTGACATAGACAGATATCTTATGTTCAGCAAAAATACATCAGAAAAACCTAGCACACCAATATTTTTCATGTGATAAAAAGAGCGCGCTTATTTAATCATATGAAATATAGACAAGTTTAGAAATATTTTTTCTGTTCTGTCCGCTTTGTTTAGACGAAGCTACTGTCGGCTAACTTTAGAAATTCTAAAGGTGTATCTATATACTGACATGTACATAACTGATGGAAGGAAGAAAACAGAAGCTAGGTAATTCAGTGACAGTTGTAAGTAACTGATGACTCATATAGCGAACATAGTCACCTCTATTATTGTACAATATAAATAAGTATAACTAATGAAGTTTTGACTTCGAAAAGTTTCGTTGCAAGCACACAACATCTTTAGGCGAATTAATCAGGACCTAATGCTTGAATTTTTTCGTTAATAGTGCGTTTATAATCTCACGCTTTTGTTCATGTTTAAATCGAACGAATTTTGGCGTGAAATTGTAAATAAGTCAATAACGAACAAATTTAAGATCTCATTGGGCCTTTATTAACTTTTTAGTTTTTCGTTCAATGTATCATTTATACTTGTTTATATTTTACGGTTTATAACAAAATCTCAACATAAAAGTGTTCTATTATTGTACAATAATTACATAACAATAACAAAAAAACAGCAACAAGATGAAAACTTGTTCGATCTGAACGGCTGCTCTCGATCGACTTCTTGAGCAGTTGACGAGATCATAAATTTGAATTGTTTAATGACACCTACACCGTTATCAGAGAATACTTTCGTTCTGAAGAGGTGTAATAAATTTATAATAGTTAGAATCCTAATCAATTTCTTTTCCTATATGTTGTAGAGCTTGCCCTCTGGTGTTAACACTAGTAAATATAAAGAGTCAATTATCTCTGGATTAGAATTATACGACTCTGAAAAGAACTTCTGCGGGCATCTGCGTATAATATTGTGAGACATATCGGCATGGTCAACTAACTCTACTACCGCAGTCAAATTCCGTAACATGTTTTTTTGCATTTTGTTAGTCTTATAATTTTTGCATAGCCAGAGCTCTGAAACGCCTCAAATCAACGAGAGAAATATGTTGAAGATTTTGAGATGTACCCGCACACTTTGTGATCGTTTGTTGAGAAAATACAAATACCTAGTTTTTTTGTTTATGAGTTTTTGAGACCAGGTACGTTTTGCCAATGGCCGTTAGGTCAAGATGCAAAGAAAGTAAAAATCCTCGGGTGTGCACTGTCCCAAAAAAGTATACTTTTAGAAAAAGTACACTTAAATTATGCCAATGACATGGAAAAACTGTACCATCGGCATACTTCAAGTACGTCATTAGCGCACTTAAAGTGTGCCGATGATACACTTTTAGAAGTGACACACAAGCGTCCAAAAATGCTACCGCAGTGTGCCAAAAGCACACTAGAAATGTGTCGGTGGCATGGTAAAAGCATGCTGACAGCACATAAAAAGCATACTTTGGCACACTTTTTCCATGTCATTGCCACAATTTAAGTGTGCTTTTCCGGGACAGTGTGCGTCACCGAACAGATTGCATTCTGCTGTACTCCTTCAAGCATTGGACACAATGTTGACCAATGTGTGATAATATACATTATAATTATAATTCTGTACTGTTATTAGAAATTATTGTGTCTGCCAATAACAGTGCCAATAGCAGATAACTTCCACATTTGTTGAAAAAACAAGCTGCCAAGAGAAAAAATGTAGAGAGGATTCAAAATGGCTGCCAACTACTTTTGAAAACGTTAAACATGCTTGGCATGGATTTTTCATTTCCTATTTCGATAAAGTCAGTTCCAAAATATATCTTGAAAATGGTATCTGAAATATGTAAAATTCTACGCTCTACCCGAATCCAGAGTTTTTTTTGCGAGGGAAACTAAACGTTTTGGAGATATCTTCGATTTTTAGCAAAAGTCAAAACATTTTAAAATCTGAATTTCGACTTAACGAAGATAGACTATGTTGCAGTTTCCGTTTCATTGAACTGAGTATGAAAAACTGCATAGTCTGACCAATCTCTTGTTAAGCTGGGTGTTTTTTTCAGCGATTTTTCTTTAAAAATATGAAATTTCATAAATCTCTTTTGAAACAGAATATTTCGTCCTCAAAACTACTATGCTAAGAATAAAAATGACGTCATCTTGTTTAGGTTTGTACACTCTACTGACTGAAATACAGTTGGGCAGTATGGGAAAAACTATCTTAGTTGCGGTGAGACGCCATCTATCGCCTTTGGAGTAATACGCTATTTATGTTAGTCAATGAAATAGCAACCTTTTCACAAACAAATCTTTTCTGCGCTTTTTAAAAGTTTCACCAGCGGCCATTTTTGGCAGCTGTTATTGGCAGGTAACTTCTAACAACGGTAATTCTGTTTCCAAGTTTTTAACCATGCTTATTTCGTATATCGAAAGCTATTTTAAACTTTGTTCCCTTTCAATCAGTAATCCAAATCTCTTGCTTGTAAAGCAATGAGCTGTTTGAAGACAACGAAGTGTACTTTTTTTCGAAAAACAAGAAGATATATTATAGTTGGAAAGAAGCATCGATTCATTGAGTACAAAATGCTCTAATGAATGTCCTTGCGTCCAGTGTTTCTGATGATAAAATGTACATATATTTTGTTGTTGCTAAATACGCTTTGTTTTACACCGTAAAAAAGGAAGCAAAGTGCACAAGGTACAGTTTGGTTTTGGTCTGTGCGCGCACTTTGTTTTTTTCAGCGCGGTTTATGAGTCATTTTCACATTCAGTGATATATCATAATATGATATGGACATAAATAGTGAACTAGAGATGGGAAGGATCACTGTTTTCCGATCCAAGTTCCAAACCGATTAAAAGTTTTCAGTCCTGTTTTTTCCCGGTGAAACCAGAAGACCGTCGAAAAAAAAACTCACCTTTTCTCAAAACCTTGACCAAAAAAAAATCCCAGTCTCAGTTCCATACTGATCCAAGGAAAAAAAGTCTTTTTATTTCTGACTCTGTCCATGTTCATTATAAACAGTCAAATGAGAGTTAGATTATTTTTGTCCTATAGCGCACGAGAGTTGTGATTTTTTCTAAGTCGATATATATCGTATCTGTAAACTTGTTTTGTGAAATAAAATTTTGTGAGAAACCGTCTTCTGTTTTCTACCTGCTAAATCCTTCATATTTCTCACTGGATTAGCTTTCTTCGCTTTAGGTTTGGAGCGGTACACTTTGTATAGTTTGGAAAAAGAAAATAAAGTGTACACGAACACTTTCGTAGTGAAACCGATCGTTGTCATTTTTTGGAATTAAATCTACTTGTAAGTACTTGTCTCATTTACCAGTGAATCTACTACTTTTTTGTTCTGACAAGTTAAGTACTTGTCAAGTAAAACTGCAAGTACTTTCACAAAGCACTCTGTAGCAATAAAACTAAGTGTGGTAATCTTAGAGAAGTACTTGTAGAAATTCATGGCAGTTGAGTCATTTTAAAAACATTTACCAATTTTTCGAAATATATTACTTACTAGTAAAGTACTTCAATCAAGTGCGATCACTAGGACAGAATTCTTATATCGTACCCTGTTCTGTGAGTAATAGCGTTATCGATTAGGGGGTGGTAAACCACTCCCTCGTTTGGATATAGTTACTCAGAATTTTTTTAAGAAATTTAAGTTGAGCAACTGCCTTTTATGTACCTGAATAAGTGGTTTTCTCTAGCTTCTGTGTAACTCATTTATTTGCTGAGAAACTCGCTCTTATGCACCTGAGTAACTGAGTTACTCAGAAAAAAGTTTTAGTCAAAAAATGCGTCACTCAATAAAAACACTGTAGTTACTCAGCAGGCTCGCCATCCTCCACCAAAACTACTCTCGATCGAAAACACTGGTGAGTAAGATGAACTTAGTACGATATCAATACTATTTAACATAGAGGATGAGTAGTTAGTTCATCCGGATATTCTCTCATATTATCTTTGCTCCGTTTGTAAATGTATGTCTTCAAATATTTTATCCACGTTATAAAATGTTTCAACTACGTGCAAAAAAAATAACAATCTTCGTGAATTTTTGCGTGATAGATCTCTTTATAACTATTTAATAACTTTATTCACTAAACAAATGACTCTTGGTTTCTTGTCTGATATCATTGGGCTACATTGCATTTACATGTTCTATTCTGTTTTAGTTTTAGCCTAAAGTAATCAATTAATCATGGTCTCATCAATGACTATTTCTTTGAACACATTACAAACTTGGCTATTAGCGGTGAGACCATGGTCATTTTCTGCCAGTATGATGCCTATATTTCTAGGTAGTGCTTTAGCATATCCACATGTAAATGATATATCTGTAATTGTATTAATCTTAACTAGTTTATCAGCGTTATGTGTCCATGCTGCTGGTAATTTATTTAATACATATTATGATTTCAAATATGGTGTCGACAGAAAAGTAAACAAAAAAACAGAAGAGAATGATATAATAATTGGTGAAGATCGTACGTTGACCGAAGGTTTATTAAAACCGGATGACGTTGTGCGGTTGGGTTTAGCATTGTATAGCATAGGAACATTTTCGTTTTTGATATTAACTCACTTCTCATTAGCACGAGAGCCATATTTGGCATTAATCTTTTTTGGAGCGTTACCTCTATCATTCTTATATACTGGTGGAATTGGTAAGTTTCGAGTTTACAAAATAATGTTTGTGAGTTCACATTTAGTTGTGTTATTTCAAAATGCCATTATTTTTCTACGTGTTTATTTCAGGTTTTAAATACATAGCAATGGGTGATCTTCTAATTTTATTAACATTTGGCCCGATAACTGTGTTATACTCATTTATTTCTCAAGCTGGTCATTACAGTCCTTATCCCGTGTTATACGCATTACCACTTACGCTCAATACAGAAGCTATTTTACATTCAAACAACACACGTGATATGTTACACGATCGTTCTGTTGGTATTTTGACGTTATCTTTATTGATTGGTAAAACGTTTTCTTATTATTTTTATTGTGTACTCATCTATGTACCTTATCTAATGATCGCATTTATAATGTTTAAAGTTTCATGGATGTGTTTTTTGCCTTTATTGACAATCGGTTATGCGCGAGAGTTATGCGAAGAATTTAGAACAAATCAGCTGCATAAATTACCAAATCGTACCGCACAATTAAATTTTCTATTAGGTTCATTGTATATTTTGTCTATTATAGTGACAAACACTGTTAGAGGAAAACAACAATTTTTATAAAGATGACTCTTGTGTTCTTGAGAATTAGTCCTTCTCTTCAGATAATATTCAAAAATAAGAGTAGAAAACAGTAGTTATCTTGACTCATTTCTATTGATTTTGTATCGTAAGATCTGAGATTTTCGTTAGTTTAGTCCTATAGTAATGTGCATTTATTTTAAATAAAGTAAAGTACTTTATCTATTTTGTCAATATGCGCCTTACTAGAGTTTTGAGTTGAATATCAATGTTTTCACTTCTATGTTTTTGTTTCTATTATTGTTATATCTGGTCGAACAATCATTTTTTATTTTATTGTTTTTTTACGTCTAATTGTTTTTTATAACCGATTTTTTTGTTACTAAAGTATACTCAAAATATATTATCTCCCACCGGTTCGTTTTCAATTTTTCTTCGTATAAATAAATGATTCAAAAATCGATATATATTCTTTAGTGGATTACACATACTACAGCAAATAAATGCTAGTTTATCTCGGATGTGTCAAGAAAGAAATACATTAAAGTAACGACTGACATATTTTTTACTCGCAGTTTAAATCGTCAATTTGCTTTGAGTATCGTAAAATTCTTCATCCAATTTTAGTCACTAGTTATTTCGTTTTGATTATTAACACCTTGATAATTCATTCCAGGAGTAGATGTTTTACTTAAATAATTAGAGACTATTGTATTTACAAACAGAATTTTACCATTTTAGGATATTATACTGAAGAGTTGGACTGATCGACTTTCAAGTTCCTACTATATCTTACCGAAATATCGATGCTACCGGTATAAAGAGAAAGATTTTGTATTTTAGATTTAAACATGTTTTCCTAATATTTTTTCTCATTATTATTTCGAATTATTAAATAGATACCAACACATAAACGTAAATATTTTTATTTATTCATACTTGTTTTAACAAAAAAAAGTACTATATGTCTTCTCTTAAAATTTTAAGAGAAAACGAATGAAATCAACCAAAAAACTGCCGAAGTAATACAAAAGACAGTTATTATTGTGTGTTTATTTCTCAATGCTCATCTCTCAATCAAATTTTTCTTCGGCGGAATCAGTTTTCAATCTATTTTTGAAAATATTATTATTACTATTATTATCGATTTCCAATAACAATATCAAAGATAAGTCTAACAGTTTTGTTAATCTGACGAAAGTAAATGAGTCAAGACGAAAAAGAAAATGGGCAATCAGCTCATCGTTCCTCTGCAGTTCATCTATTCGCAGGAGGGTAAGTTAAATAAATAATCATAGAATTGTAAACGTAGGTAAGATGTTTTTCTCCTTTTTTAGACTTGCTGGTACGTTTGGAGCTGTTCTTACCTGTCCTCTCGAAGTCGTTAAAACTCGTTATCAAGCATCTGAAAATTTATTGAAAGAACAAGAAAAACTTGCTGCTGCTAAATTATCTAAATCAAATATTACTCCATCAATATCAACGAAAGAGACTAATATTCATCTATCATCAAATAAACGTCCAAGTATTATAGGATCATTTAAGTAAGAAACTGAAAATGGTTGAAATCGTATAATTTATTAAAAATTTTTGTTTTTATTTTCAAGGCATATCGTAAAGCACGAAGGATACAAAGGCCTCTTCAAAGGTTTAGGACCAAATTTAGTTGGTGTAGCGCCATCCAGGTAATTTTTTTTCTTTTTTATTCATTTAATCAGACTTTGTAATTACCACAGAAGAAAACATAATCATCAAACTGCTGGGAAGCGGCTATTGTCTTCTTTTTTTTTTGATACAAAGACAGGCACATAAATATGGAAAAAAGTGGGTTTTTTATTATTTAAAGGAATATAAAGTATTTGTTATTGCAAAATTTTTATCCTATTCATTTGTTTGACGTAGATATTTTTATAATAGTAACTTTTTTTTTGTGAGAGACTGGAGTCTCTTGGACAAACCTTCTTTTATAATGCAAAATATTATCCTGATTGTTACACTTATGAACTTCGGCTTGAGCTCTATGATTTTATGTTCATCTTTTTTGTTTCTTCTTTTCTCGGTTTGTCTGGCATTTAGGGCGATTTATTTTTTCGCTTATGCAAATACAAAATCGTTTCTTGTCGATGCAATGGAACGTGAAACACCTCTTGTTCATGTAACTTCAGCCGCTACCGCAGGTATGCTCAAATTAAAAATGAATAATCATTTCAACAATTATTTTATAAGCAGTTGTAGAAGTAGTTTTTAGCTCACATCCTCTATTTCTCGATTATGATGGAATAATATTTTTTCTTATTATCGATACCTTTCAGGTATAGCTATGTCGACATGTACAAATCCTCTATGGTTTATTAAAACAAGACTTCAACTTGATTCACGGTACGTGCTATGAGAATATTAACACTGATGATTTTATACTACAGTAAGTATTCTACTATTTTTCAATTAGAGACCTTCGAACAACGGATATAATTCGTGAAGTTTATCGTCAAAATGGTCTTCGTGGTTTCTATAAAGGTACAGTAATCTTTATAAAAAAAAATTGTAAATATTGAATCATATCCCGAATTTGTTTAGGAATATCTGCCTCTTACGTCGGTGTATCAGAAACAATTGTCCATTTCGTTATTTATGAACAACTTAAAGCACAAATTCAATTAATGCAAACAAATTTAGCTCATTCACCAGATGATCCAGGTATGAAAATAAAAATACTGTTCGTCTATACTAAAACAGTCTTGTTAAGTTCGAATATTTTATTTTGTTAAGGTATATTTAATTTTGTGTCATATCTGGGTGCAGCTGCATGTTCAAAATCGTGTGCAAGCACTCTCTGCTATCCGCATGAAGTGTTACGCACACGTCTAAGAGAAGAAGGTACAAAATATAAAACCTTAGTACAAACATTCAAAACTATCTTGAGTGAAGAAAGCTATCGTGGTCTCTATCGAGGATTATTAACACATTTAATTCGTCAAATACCAAATACAGCGATTATGATGGCTACGTACGAGATTGTCGTCGCTTTTCTGTCAGATTCATCTTCGCAGTCAGTAACAACAACAGAAGTATCAACATTGGCTCCAACGCGTGTTTTAATAAAATCAGCAGATAATGAAGTAAACTCGACCACTGCGGCAGAAGTGTAGTATACACAACTCGTAGAATAAAATACATATTTTTTATAAAATTTTCACTGTGTGTATGCTGTGAAACAGAAACAGAAACAGAATATAATCTTAGACCAGTGAACGATCAGTTTCTCGTTTTGTTTTTGTAAGACCGAACTAGTTTAGCATTTGTTATTTTTGTTTTTCCTCGGTGATTTTTTGTTTTCAACAATGGCTTTTTCATCTTCTGTAATAAATACACCATTTTTATGTTTGTTTTTCCGGTGCGCACAATCATAACTGCATAATTTGAAATCTGTTTTGTTTTGTTATTTTTGGAGACTCATTAACTTGACGAAAGAGAACCAGAATTAAATGTGAAATTAGGTTACGCAAGTAAGGTAACATATCCTATTAAATTATGTGGTCGTAACTTTCCTACCTTTTGTTATTCATTAATAAAATGTCCTATAATTTTTACGAGATTATTTAGCGCATGTTATCAGTAACTTAGTAATTACTTATAAAACTATTGTAGAATCTTTTGGTGCTTTCCAGTGTGTTTGATTAAACGTGATATTGTCATCAAATGTCGTGGATGATAATTTAAGAGAGATTCTTCCTTTCAGTTACCTTTGATGACACTTATTTTACAAATCCTTCTGTTAAGTTTCTTTCTTTTGTGCTTCCCTTCAGTTTTGACGCCTTTTTTTGTTGTATTTACTATCTGTTTATGTTTTTATGTAAAATCTTTTTTTCTTCCACGATAGAGTATTATTATGTTTATCGATGTGATAATCAGAGGTGGACAGGGGAGAAGGAAACTCAGATTTCTACGTGTACTCCTTTTCCTTCCGTAGGATGGAGAGAAGGGATCCTTTCAAGAATAGTTTCATAGAGAGTCAGAAATAGAGCCCCACCCATTTCTGGTGATAATACACAAAAAACATACGCGAATTGCGTGTGAGTATTTTTCATGCGTTTTGTTTGCTGTGCCATATACATAGAGATTTTTTGTTCCATATAACTTTTTTTGTTTTTTTGTCTTTTTTACGTCTATAAAAAAAACGGTATTATACGAAAATACATGTCCAAACAAACTGCATACGAGAATTCTAGAGTATCACCTGATAAAGTTTTGTATTCAAGTCATCATTTCCTCACATGGCATTGTGCACTAAAACACTAAGCATAAAAGGGATTATTCCACAAAAATGTATTTATAGGAACTCAAACGAATTACAGAAGACGAGAATATATTTCATTATTGTTTATAACAGAACATAATTTGATTTAATTGAATGAAATATGCAGTTCACCAATATCACCTTGATTATAATTTTATTTCTAATTTCGCTCATCATGTTCATTTTTCATTTATTTTTCTATTCTTATATGCTATTAAATTGTTTGACTGATATTTTTTTGTATATTTATCAATAATCGTCAATTCAATATAATTCAATATAATTATAATATAATTTATTAACAATTAATTTGACAACGATGTCATACTTGAACGGGATGATTGAAGTTTTATCTAACGCACGATATTCGTTATATAATCTCGTAATTCAATAACAACACTAATAAATAATTCATTTATCGATATACGAATACAATGTTAGTAGTTAGTTTATAATTTTAGTTCATAATTTTTTTCGATATTCCCATTTTTGTATCGTTTTTTAATTTGTCATACTCTACTCATCGACCATAGTGCTATGGAGGAGTTAGAATGTTTCACCATCACATACACAATGTTCACAATCTCAAAAATTCGATGAAATCAACAGTTTCATCAATTAGATGTATTATATGTCAGAAGTTTTCTACATTGAAAAATAATAAAATATTTCTTTTTACGAATACATATTTCAATGTGTTTGTCCAACGATTTTGTTTTTAACAAGTTGTATCCATAGATACCTTCATGCTTCCTAGTACGGTTATGGCTGACCGAGAAGAAAAGAATGAGATTTCTGAACTGTTTTTTTTTGAAGCAATTAATTTCAGTTAAACTTTTAGATAAAAACTTGAAACGAATAAGTTTAGGTTGATTCCGATGACACTTTGATTTTTAATACGATTTACTATGTAGTAGTAAGCGTTATGATTTAACATACAAAAATGTGATAGTTGTCATATACACTGGAAAATTTTCTTGGAAACTAGCACAAATTGGTTCCATTACTGCATTGTTTATCACTATATTTTTTGCACTTATTTCTAAATATCGCGTGAATATGGAACTTCTGAGAAACTATGACGGTTAAAGTAACGTTTTTCTGTTGACTTAAATATAATAGAGTTACACAATAACGTTTACTTTGGAACTCTAGTTGGATCAACAAGAAGCTGGAACTTTAATCTGGGTTTGTAATGCTCCTCTTTTTCTCTTCTTTCCTCTTTAATCCAAGATCTCTCCTCTTTTTGAGCTAACCGTCCTCTTTTACCTCTTTCTTTGGGATTTTTTAGGAAAAATACCAGAATTCACGCATATATTTTTTTTATCAACCCATCATATGAAATAAAATTCAATCACTCGTGGTTACAGAAAACAGTAGATGAAGTCCCTGTGAGAACGTCAACGATTTTAGCCAGTTTTGATCGACGCAGTGTAATGTATATTAGTATAACTGCGAGCGGATCACGATTTAGTGAGATTACAAATGCAAATGCTCAGGTATTTTGTTCAATAGAAATATTGTAAGTATTCGAGAACGTCTGATGTAATAAAAATCAAGGCCATACCACATCACATCATGTCACCCACCATTCAGGTATCTAAATACAAACAGTATAAGTCGATGACAATCTATACGGATTATATACAAAAAGGATTATCCAGAGATGATCTTCAAAATGAAAAAATATCTATTACATATTCTTTAAGTAGATATAAATTCAATTCATTATTTCATGGTTTCTTTTGTACGTTCTGTAATTCGTAGTTCAAGTATTTATTTTAGCATAGTTATTCGATTTAGTAGAATAACACTATATATGAGTTTTAATCTTTAGATTTTCATTTACAATTGATTTATTACATGGTATTGAGGTATCTGCATAGTCACAAACTGATACATGGCCATTCGAACACATAAAATTGCATTATTGAGATGATACACAGTAAATTTGATTGATTTTATGTAAAATAGACAAAGCTTTCAGATTTGTGCGCGCGCATACTTAATAGTTGACGATTTTATGACGTTTCTAAACAGTTTTAGCCCTAGATTCTATAAAACCGACTTTTGTTTCTATGTAAAACTGAATTTTGTTTCCATCACAAACTATAAAATCAATTATTAATATTCATAAAATCAAACTGTAGATTTTATTATTTTGACTTTAAAACGTTTCAGACATCCTCAAGTGTTTTTTTCCTATAAAACCCTCCAACTATTAACTATGAAAACAAATCTAAAATCAAAAACGTTTTCTATTCTCAGTGTGTAGCTTCTTATGTATAGCGAGACGTCTATCTCATCAAAATTTACATTTCGACACGCCAAGTGCAGTTGTGTGCAAGTTTGTTAAAATTGGTAAAATATTAATATTAACGTTCTTATGTATTTACACAATGACAAAACAAAAAGGTCATTGAACACAAATATAAAAATCAATATCGATTTTATATAAAACAGCAAACGTTCGCTTTCTTATGAAATCGATATTAATTTAACCTATTCAAATCAGAACCAATGACTCGACAGTTTTATAATAATTTTAGAATTGAAAATTTCTAAAATAAACGCTAGAAAAACATCTATTTTCCATTCTCGTATATAAAATGCTTATGCATTTCATGAAAGCTTAAAAATATTTAACCATCTTACAAACGATTTTCTATAACATCAATAAATAGTTACAATTCTAAGTGTAAATCAGCATGAAAAATAATTGGTACACTCCATATTTTCAAAAATGGGGTATTTCATTATTTACATGAGGACTTGGTTATGTTCAGGTAAAACATCAATGCAAATATACCAAATCACTGGTTGATCCTTATACAAAAACATATATATAGCATTTGAATGAGAAAAGTTTTTTTCAAAACTTGAAATTATTACCACAAGTTGATATTTATTCATATGAACTTATATTGAATGAAATTGCAATAAGGACTGTTCTATATATGAGACAAATATTCTTGAATAAATTTACGCGCCGCCGAAATTTTATTAGTACTTTTACTTGTTACAAAAAAATACTGATATTGATATAACTCGACTATCAGCTAAAAGTTGGAAATAATATTTATTCAATACAATGATATTTGCCTTACTTTTCACACAATATACAACAGTAGTATAAGAGTCATCCTATATGTCTACATTGTAAGGTTGGAAATTATTCATAGAAAATGCTTGGAGAATTTCAAAGAGTACCTAGAGGAATTCCTCGACGATTTTTCAGTTTATAGAAAAGCGAATTTTCAACAATCTGAAACAATCGTCCTTGAATTTCCATAAATGATTACCAAGAATCCGGAAATTCAAGGAGGAATTTCTCATTTCTTGGGATTTATTTATAGAAATTCGACTTCGATTTTCTATGAACTGGAATTCCTCGAATTCCCATAAATAATTTTCAAACTCCTAGAAATTTGCCAAGGAATTTCCAATTTATAGAAAATCGACGTTGAATTTCTATAAATAGTTCCTAAGAAAGTAGAAATTTCTTTTTGATTTTCTATAAACTGGAACTTCCTTGACGAGTCTGCACCGAGTGGCGGCGCGGCGGAGGTTGTATTGGGGTTAACCCTGCCCTCTCATACTTTTGAGAAATTTCTGGTAAACGTCTCCGATTCTAGGACCTTCCTATCAAAACTTCGCGCCACCACCGTCTACCTAAACCAAAACTCTTGCTGACATAAGCGGAATTGTGATTAAAGCGGAAACTGTCAAGACTGATTTAAGTGTAATATGAGTGTCTTTACGTGACACTCTTATACCTACACTGATTACAAAACAAAAACGTGAATAAGTAGTTGATCTAGAAATCCATGGGCGATTTTCCACTTTCTAGAAAATCGATCGAATTTCTAGAAATAATTTCCAAGAAACGGGAAATTTATAGAAAATCAAAAACGAATTTCCAGATTCTGGGGAATTATTTTTACAAATCTAAATGGAATTTCTAGAAAGTAGAAATCAACAATTTATAGAAAGTCGAAGATTCCCCAAGGAATTTCTATAAATTGGAACTTCCTCAGCGAATTGAATCGATTTTCTATAAACTAGAAATTAATTCAAGGTTACAATATTATTTCTTAGATGTTATCTACAAAAATAAATCTATTTGTTAGTCCTATTTCTCAACAGATTTGAAAAATTTTTAGAACTAAGTATCCAAATATTTATTTTTATAAAGAAAGGTAGAACTATACAAGAAACATTAGACGCATAGAAACTAAACTCTTACTCTACTGTGAGTATAAAAACAAAGATTTTACTCAAACTTCTCAACTCAAACTTCTAGAAAACCTTTTCAGACCGGTAATGCTATGACATAAATTCTAACTACGCGTTATTAAAGTGCAAATTTCTGCGAATTTAGAAGAGCTAATAACAGGTGTCTTGAGCAAAGTTTATAGAGGAGCTAACGGGCTTTTTTTTGTTCAAAAAATTTTTTCAAACCCTTCCGCACGCCTAGAAAAGTCGATTTTGTAAAGTAATGCTGTGACACACTTTTTTGTCGTACCATCTCTAGGCAGTAAACGTTGTTCAAAATATTTCATACTTATAGTCTGTGTAGTTCTGGGTTTCCTGAAAAGCCTCCAGTTGAAAATAAAGTTCGAAAAATTCTGTGAGGCTTTCGGAATATTCCATCCATTTGGTGAACAAGTCTCATTGTCATCTTGTACATCACTAGTGAACGTTGGGGAATAGAAGCCATCATCATCATTTTGTAGTTCTCTTCTGGCTTGATCACGTTGATCAATCAAATCTGGAAATCGTTCTCGTAATACTTGCAATACATCTTCAGGATATATTGTTTGTCCTTCGTTAAATTCATTAAATACTTGAAAACCTCTCTCATCTGTTGGTAGCCAAGGGGGCGTCACTTGTTTTTTCTCACGTATATGTTTGACAAGTCGATAGACCGCAAGTGGTGGTAATACAGCTACGGCTGCGGTGATTGCTCCTACAGCAATAACTGGCGACGAAATCGCTATACCCGATGCAACTAAGCCACGTATGGTACGTCTTAGCCAAGGTTTGTCGGGATGAAAATTGTATGGACAACCAAACATACTAAAGGAAAAAAACGTATAAATAGAACTTTTAGTATTCTCTAAAAGAAATGGTTCCCTACAATACCTTAAAGGTTTCGTGAATCATTCCTGAACTTTTAATGGTTTTGTGTTTATTTACTGAACCTCTAGGAGTTCCGAAGATTAAAAGGTATTGTGCTCAATGCACGAATCAGACCGAAAGACGAAAGTTGAAACGTGCAAACAGCCACTATGCCTCGATTGAAAAATAGATCTCAAAATAAAATGAGCTATTTTGTAGAGAATTGAATTCTCTATTCAATGGTATGTTTTTAAAATTTTTTGAACAAGATATCCAGGTCAAAAAATTGAAATTAAAATTTTTTATACTGAAAATTATTTTTTTCTTCAAAAAAAATTCAGATGTATGATCAGCATGAAAAGTTGTGTCTAGTGAAGTGTTCCTATCGATTTTCCGATGAAAAAAATTCAAAAAACACTTGATCAGCGAAGTGTCACGTTATGTGGACAAGCCGTATAGTTCTTTAGATTTGGTGTTAAAAATATCAGAATTGCATTAAAAACATTTGTTAAAAAGAAGTCGAAGAGAATATTTATGAGTGAATTTTTACATAGAGTTTATTCAGATTATTTAAAATAATTTATTTAACAAACAAAAGTGCTCGATCATTAGATATAAGACAATTAATCGATATCTATTTTCTACTAAATTTTCTGTCAATTTATTTATATTTTATTATCTTGTTCTTACAATTATTGCACTTGCAAATATACAATTTTAATCATTTAAAATTAAAACTGTTTTCAAACCTATGTTAGTTAATCAAACTTATCTTAATTTTGTTATCATTTTGACAAATACTTCATAACGAATTTTTCCGTCACAGTAAATATCAGCATCACGAATCATTTCATTAACTTCATCGTTGTTTAATTTTTCACCTAAATGTGTCATAATATGGGTAAGTTCTTCTTTTGAAATGTAACCTAAAACAGATGTCTCAACTCATACATGCATTATCAACTAAAAAAAGGCTCATAGGACATAAATATGCTCACCATTGCCTTCTTTATCAAATACACGAAATGCTTCAATTACTTCTGTCGGATCATCGATTTCACTTGCACAATTATTCAATAATTGTAAAAATGTATGAAAATTAATTTTATTGATACCATTGGAATTATAATCTTGTTGAAACTGTTTAATTGTTGACTCAGTAGGATTGAAACCCAACGATCTCACAACAGTGCCCAATTCACTTCATAAAATATATTGATTATTTTTTAAATTTTATCAAATGATTTAATGTTTTTACCTCAAATTGATGGTACCATCACCTTGTCGATCGAATAAAGAAAATGCCTCTTTAAATTCAGCAATTTGCTCTTCATTGTAGTTCAACGTTGAATTACTTTGAACTAATTCATTTTCATGTTGTCTTTGTGTTAAATTTTGTTTAATCTTAATCGAATTATTTATTCGTCATTTTTTTCGGTTACTTCAAATTTTCTACTTACATGTGTTTGAGCCATGATTTTCGATTGTATATTTGATTAGCAACGTTTACACACGTGATATAAACGATAATGAACTTACACTAGTTTACGCTCTCTCTTTAAAGAAAGTAGTTTAAATTATATTTTAGATTGTCAACAGATGTTTGCAGAACAAATAGACATGAACTACTAATATAATTATGAAGTTAGGGTAACCGTGATCGTTGATACTGCTAAATAATTTGTTTACAGCTTATCTGAAAGCTCATACTACAATATTATTATTTTACTAGGAAAATAAACTAGAATCACATGATCGTTAAGAAAATAAACAAATAAATACAAAATTTCTGTGACAATTATTCTATCAAAAAATCACAGTAAAAAAATATGTTAAACATTGATACTGACAATTACAAAAAATATGTTTTAGACAAGACATTATTAGAAAAAATTAAAAATTGAACAATACAAAATTGTTACATGACAAATTGTTACATGTAATCTTGACTTTTTTATTCTTGACTTTTGGCTATTTGGCCCAATTTATAAGAAGATATTGAATGTTGTAAATCTTCATATAATAAACGAGAATTACTATTTAAAGTTGGATAATCAACAATTGAATCTAATTTTGATGGTAACGATAAAAGATTTAGTACCAAATTTCTCATACCATTTTCATGTCGTTCAGTTATCTCTTGATCAACTATCGATTTTTTGGTACTACTTTGTTTAAATTTACTTGCAAATGAAGACCATGATGATTGTTGCTGCTGAATATCTGTTTGTGACATGGAACGACTTTCACTAATCGATAATGATTGTTTCTTTTTACTAGAAGTAAAATTTTTCTTAGTTTTTGACTGTTTTGATGATGATATGCTATTAAGTGAATCCGATAATGATGTTCCTGATACCGAAAAACGTTGTGTAAGAAATGACTGTTGATGTTCAATATTATCCATTGATTTATCTCTTAAAATAACATTGTTTATATTGAAACATTGATGAAATGATTTTATCAGTAAATCACGTGGTGTTTGTACAGGAACATTTGTTTGATCGTATACTATAGATTTTTTCCATTTTAATATACATAATTGTTTTAAATTAAACATTTTAGTTTTCAATATTTGTTCACCTAAACTTGTTTGATTATTTGTATGATCTGTATTAATTACAATTTCATTATTACGTGTATAACCTAATAACGTTAATAGGTAGATTAACGATTGAATTTGATTAATGTAAGCTAAATCGAGTAGTGTTCGACCTAAATGATCTTTTAACAAACGATAGTCAACATATTGAATTAATTTAAAAAATAATTGAATATGTCGTTTTAAAATAATAGTCGATGATAACATGTTATGTAGACATGTTTGACTATCATTATCCAAATGATAAGGATTTGCTCCTGAATGAAGTAAATGGATAGCGATCGATGTATGACCTTCCATTGCGGCATAGAACAATGCCGTTTGATTATTGTGATCGACGATATCGATTAAATATTGATTATCAATCGTTGATAATTCACCAGAGGAAAATGTAAAAAATTTACTACTATCCATGGATGATGTTGAAATACTTCTCGTTGACAACGAATCATGTCTATTCGCATATTTGATGAGTGCTTTTATACCGGAAGATGGTGATAGATTCTCGTTATGATTTGTATCGGATTGTGTTTTTGTTCCAAATGATGAAGATGAGAATAGTGTGGAAAATTTACAGAGCTCATTTACAATTTCAAAAGTACCAACAAATGTAGCAATATGTAAACACGTCATGCCCTTGTCATTACGCATTGTTGGATCAGCTCCATTCTGAAGTAGAAATGAAACGGCTGCGTAATGAGATGATGCACAAGCATTCATTAATGGTGTCCATTTATGTCTAAAAGTAAACATTCTATTTAGTGAGCGATCATCAATGAAATTATTAAAATCTACTTGTCTTGTGAATTAATTAAATGTTTATCTGTATCGGCAGCAAGCAGTAGCTGTAAAAGTCGTATATTTCCATTTGTACCTCCAACTATATGAAATGAATTTCGTCCAATATTGTCTACTCTCGAGCAATCAGCTCCATGAGCAAGAAGTAGCTGAACAAGCTAAATAAAAATAAGTTAGTTACGGGTTTCAAATATGATAGAGAAGTTTGTTAAAACTGTTAAAAAATAACTTTATATACTTCTTCGGAATTAATGTATGTTGCAATATGCAATGGTGTTGATAGACTTATATCGGTTAAATTGGTTTGACAACCATTGTTTATTAATAAATGAACACCTTTAATGTTTAGTGATTCAACAGCTGCATGTAATGCAGTATTTTTGGTTGCAGGATCTGGTGAATCAGGTGAAAAACCTATAAAAATAAAATGTAGTTATATTTCTCATTTTGCGTTTTTCGTTGTTAAATTCATAAACTCCAAATAATCTCAGTTCGTGTATTCTTGACACACCTTTTTATTATTATTAATACAAGCACACAATACATCGAAATGATTCTGTCAACATAAAAGTGATTTAATAAAATAGCGGTTAATATATTTCTTGATCTCTCCCTAAATGGACAAATGGTATACATCAGCGCAGATCTTTATGTTCTTGGACTAAACACTTTATTATTATATAGTAAGATTATGTAGATGAGAGGTATACACAAAAAAAACAGCACATAAAAATTAATCACTTTTTGCTCAACGATATTACCTGCTGACAAAAATTTCTGTAATGTTTCATTGTCTTTTTCATACGCGGCATGGACAAACGCATTCGCATCTTGAGAATTGATCGATAAACTACTCGAATTTTTATCAGTCTTTTTTTCGCCTGCACGAAATAAATCTCGAAGTCTCTAAAAGTAGTGTAAGCACAAGAATGTACATCATTCATTAGGTGAGTATTATTTCAGTGTTATTGTCTTTGGCTCCACTTTCGTAGCGTAGATGTCACCGGTCAGGCAAAAGACAAGACTTGGGGTCGACTTCTGTGTGCTTTTTGATGTATCATACATTCTCTGCCATAATAATCTATTAAGAAAAAGATATCAACACCCCTCTCTCATGCCTTCAAAATCACAGCAAAGTTCATGCTGACGAAGTCTACTGTTTAACATATAATAGTGAAAATCTGTGGAGACGTGTCTTTGTTATCACATAAACGTATTCTTACCATGTGTGTCAATGGAAGGAGAAAGCGAGTAAGCAGTTTATTTTGTTTTATTACATTATGTACGATGATTAAAACATAAATTTTTTAAAATACACTTCATTTGTTTATGAATTTAACAGGTACTTCTCAAAATGCTTTTTAGATGAAAAAACATAAGAGAAGTATCTATAGGGTTTCTACTATGTATATAAATCTAAACATATTTGACTTATTCACTTATACAATTTATAAATATGTACATAGAATATGAGAACAATACAAGAAGAAAAGACAAAGGAACAGAGAGAATGCACAATTACAAGTCGTAAAAAAGAAAAGAACTAATGTCAAAAACTAAAATCATTTTATATAATATTAAAAAAAAAAGTGAAAAAAAATAAAAAAAGGCTAGTGTAGTTGCCATATAGTTTAAAAGATTTTTTATACGATAATAAAATAAGTTCGTCGGTACCGAAAACAACGAACGAGAAAAAAAAGAAAAAGGCGATAAAAAAAGAAACGAACAATAATTAATGAAATGTATATCGTCAGATTGAAATACAATAAAAATAAAATGCTCCATCTGCTAGATAGATGCCGTGATATTATGCAAAATTATATCATGATAATATTGATCATAACACTATGATACTCAAGTGAATTTAGCCCATTATGGCTGGTTGCAAGAATAAGAGTCAAACGTCATCATCTGCTAACAACCAAGCACGAGTTCTAAACCAAACATCTGGAAACATATGATATTAACTGCAGACATTCAAAGAGGCTCATATCTAACCAGTACAAAGTTATATCAATGATTCTTCTAAAAGCACGGTTTTACAGAGGAACAACAGTCATCTAATGAATGCAACTGTATAGCTAACACAGGGAAGATTGTAAAGCATATTCTGCTTTCGTATTTAATTATTATTTTAATTTAATTTCTCTCCACTCTGTTTATAGTCATTTTGGGTTCGATAGTGGACCTTTTTGAAAAAATTACTAGAGAACAAGCAAAACAGTTTGAAAGCTTTATAAGAACGTCATTATTATCAGCTTTGCTTCTTTTATGTATCTTGAAATTTTTAGATGTTGCGGTTACTATACGTTATTGTTTCATCGGCGTAAAAGAATCGATGATTTAACCCTGTACTAGTAGATATGAACTCTCTTGAGCTTCAAGAGTTGATATTTTATGTTTCTAGATGGTAGCAAATTCTTATTTGATTGATAGCAGATCATGACATATGGTACAAGTATCCGGGGAATAATGTTTTTCACAAATGTAATCGATCAATAAATGTCTTTAAAAGCTTCTCACTGTGACAAATTTTTAGAAAAAAAATTGACTCATTAGAATAGGTAATTGCCAGTAGTAATGCTAGAAAAGTATAGGTATTGTCAGCAGCGTAGCGAGGATCTTAAGTTGGGATGAGAGGATAAAAAAGTTTTCTCTCACAAATAGTATGAGGATTAGCAGTAAAGTTCTGTTCGAGATACACCGTGGGCAGTTTTGACTAGGCACATGGACAAGTGCCATAAAAATGATACAAAAGCCACTAAACACTATTTTTATAGGTTTTCGGATGCGCTCTTTCCAGTAGTGTGATTTACAAGTTCAAAGATACTTTTATCAGGATTTTCCAGAGAACCGATCTCTGAAAAATCGGACTAAAAGTGTTTTTGAACTTTGTAAATCACACCACTGGAATGAGCGCACCCGAAAACCTATAAAAAAAAGAGTACCAAGGCTTTCAAACGACTCCTAAATCAGAATCCTAGTGCCTAGCCAAAATTGCTACGGGAATGCTGCAAATCCGTCATCTCATTAAATCGAACGCTTTTTTGCGCATAAAAACATACAACTGATATATCATTCGATGCAGTTCGATGCGCTTTTTGAAATGAGAAGCAGTTTTTAATGAAAGTGCTTCTAGGGTGAGAAGAATGGATTTTACCTGAAAAAAACAAAGTTTTTGCAAAACCTGCAGCTCAGTCCAGAATCATTTGGGCTATTTCGGACTAATCTTATAGGTGTAGTATATATAGAAGAATAGTTTCTGAAAGTTTGAACTTATTCAAAGTTGTGAAAAAGTGTGGAAGCTCATTATACTGAGCACATGTTTTCGGAAAACCCTTAACGGAAAATGAAAAATAATTTTTCAGACGCTGATTTAACCAAAAACAAAAACGTTTTTTATTAATCGATAACTAAAAGAGAGTAGAATCTGAATATATACTTTCCCAAATTTTACATCGAAATAATCTTAATTATATACATTATATAATATATATAATGTTACAAAATAATGTTGATTCATTATTATTGTTTATAATCGTGAAGCTGCAGATAATAATCTTGCATTTTCATCCAATTTATAATTGCAATATTATTGGCCCACTAATATTACAATTCATTTGATGAGCGAAAACAAAAAAATTTCAATTATTCCTTGTGTAACTCCCATTTCTCACGTCACCTCTGAGTAATGTATCTACCCTAGTGAATGTACTCAGGTGTGAGTACTCAAAGTCGTACTCTGTTAAAAAATGTCCCGAGAACTCATGAGTACTTACTCATTTTCTTACTGACTGAGTACTCACATGAGTACTCATGAGTGAATAACAGGTACTGTGAGTACGACTATGAGTACTCATGCTTGGATATTGTTGAGTACTTATATAACTACATAGTCATGAGTATTGTTCATCTGATATTTTCATATTCTCAGGCAGCCAAAGTAGGATTACAAGTCTGGTCATAGATGAGTCCATCTCTGACTATACACAGAGAGACCATTGAGAAAATAATAAGATAAATATTCTATGTTTCTTCACTAAATTCTACATTCTTTATACAGTTTCAATTTAGCAAAATAAAACGGTGAATGAATATTTCCGTAGTACTCACTGAGTAACAATACTCAAAAATCGTTAGGAGTACTAATATGAGTGTTCATGGACGAATTATGAGTAAAGTCGTACTCATCGTATGAGTATTTTCACTAGGGTGTCCTACATTCGATGCTTACAGTTATGGTAATCGGTCAACTTCTAGAGCTTAACTCTTCTGAAGCAAGACGTCTGATCGTTTATACTATCTTATACGTTTCTTGGATATATAACAAAAAAATGTACAGGAACGCTAGTTTCTCTATCGCCGATAATAATAGGGCTTGTCTCTCTTTCAGTGGGTAGAGATAGTATAAAATTGCTGATTTCTTTTTTTTCAAATAAATAGCTTATATTAAGATGCTAGTTGATATGATGGTGTCAATTATTTCGTAGAAAAAATATTTTTCGTGATAAGCGAAAATAGTCAACAACCCAACCAGTATAATATATTCTAAAACTTTAACGAACTTACGTGCGTCTGTTTTGAATCCTCGCTTACGATTTTATTCTTTTTCATTTCAAGAGTTCAAATAGAGTAAATTTAAACAAACGATATGTTTGTTACGATATGTTGTCTACTACTGATACTTTCAAAATTACCTTTTCTTTTTTTAAGATCTTAAATGCACATTACCTTATCGTTAAATGCGCGTATACAGTACATTCATTTTGTTTGCTTTTTATATAATATCAAACAGCGTGATGCACCTTTTTTGGAGAAGAAAAACTCTTCCGTTTTTAACCCATAAATTAGCAACGTGAATATACTATACTAAAAATGACTACGTTTGACTATTCAACAACTCTCTGGGGGGGGAAATTTATACAAATAATAGATACAGTACACAATATTAATATATTTTTGGCAATCTGTTACATATTATGAGTAAGCACGCATTAGAAGAATTAGGCATATCACGAAGAAAATTTGTATATTTCGTATAAAGATAATTAAGAGTGATTGCGAACGAATGATACCAAAATTAATGCTGATTTACCATCACAATTGTAAATTGTAGTAATTTTCGTATTGAAGAAGAAAAGTGCAACATAAACCAATCTGATTTTTCGTGTGAAGTTAGCCACACTGACAAAAAAGAAAAAGAGAGAGAGGAAGAGAGAGAGAGGGAGAGAAAGAGAGGGTTGAGAGAGAGACAGAGAGAGAAAGAGAGAGAAAGAGAGAATGTTGAAAAGCATTTTGTTAAAATTTCTTTCCATTCAGTGCATTTCACAAGTCAATTTCAAGGAAGCTTTGTTTGAAACTGTATTACCACTGTCAACATTACGTAGATCATTAGACAAAACATTAAAATAATAAATGTCAAATTACATACACAAAATGATGTAGCAAAACGTTTTTGTAAACGTAGCCTTCCTCGCTGATGCTCTTCTCTCTTTTTCACCCTTTTTAGATTTGCCCTTACGAGCGTATGTACAATTTTATCAATATGAACATCCTGCTTCAATCGTCCCGTTATTAGATCCATAGTAGATATCGAATGAATAACACCGTCAACATCAATATGAATAACTTCATTTTCCATAATATTTTTCAGTTTGAAACCGGATTTCGGTAATTTTTCTTTATTGTCATTATTCATTTCTTGCATTTGATTCATTTCACGTAGTTCTTGCATTTGTAAAAGAAGCGGTTGTTTTAACCAAGACCAATTATAATCAGCATTTTTATTTTTGACACGGATATACGTTTCGCTCATGGCAGCAATATCCGTCAATCGATGCCGCACAATATGCCATTTAGAATCCGTTTTAAGTGGACGTCGACGATATGGTGGCAAATTTGATGACCGTCGACGAAATACGAGTGATTTTAGTGTTGATGTACTACCGAATGGTGAATACATTCGACGAGTAATTTTTTTATCTAACAACGATTTATTTACATTATCGTAATGATGTTTTAACGACGGCTCCAAAATATTCGGATCAGAAACACGCATAGACGACGTTTTATTCGACAATACTTCGGTTTCTATCTTGGAAAATGAGCCGTCCCCTAACTGAACATTATCAGGAAAGAGTGAAACACGAATTTCGGATGGTGATCGTTGTTTCCAACGACGTCGTTCATCGTTTTGATTATGATAATTATCAACATCCAACGACGATTGTTTAACCGTTAAAAAGTCCGAATTCGATTTAGAATGTGGTAAAGTTCGACGATGATGGTCTATAGAATTCAATATCGACTGTGGAAATGGTTTCAGGATTTTTGGTTGAGATTCAACTTCAGGCAAAAGTTCATTTGCCAAAATCTCTTCTTCTTCGTCTTGCGGAGATAAAAAATTAAATGTTATTGAGGTTGCCATATGCCGTTTTTAAAGACGATAAATCATGATAAAAATCTAAAATGCGGATAAAAATTCGTATAGTATATGTCAACAAAGACACCCAAAACTTTCATCATGTCTAAAATAAGATGGAGAAAAAAGAGAGTTACCAGTGTTTTGTTCTTTATGATGAAATACTAGTATAATTACACTTGTCTATCAAATTCGCTATAATCACAGTACATTATATCCTTATCGTTGAGTATACTTTCAATTTCAACTGTTAACTGTGATCTGCATTTTATTTTTAATGTTGATTAAATAATGGAATTTGAATGTATTGGCTCAATGTCGTCACGTTTGTATGACAATGGATATTCCAGTCAAACTCGTTTTTACATATGTACGTCAGCGTTTCGATGAATAATAGTGACTTGTAACTGGTTTGTTTCTTCTTACGTTTATTTGCTCATTTCTGAAACACTTATATTGTTGTACAACATTTATTTAAAATGCGCTTCAATACATAATAGAGCAGTTATAAAAAAATTTGTTACGTTTTCTATTACAAGCATTAAATACATTTTTACAAGTTTTTAATTTTAAAACTAGAAGATTGACTGTAAAACTGGTGACAAGAAGAAACAAATCAAGATATTCAATAGTCATTAATGCGATTTAAGGGGTGTGGCATGGAAGTTTCTCTGAGGCAAAAATGCAAAATGCCTCAAGCTTTTTTATGTGCACTAAAATTAATTTGATGTTGTCTAACAAAAATGTACAGACCAAAAATGTAATATTTCTATTAATTATATTAAAAAAAAATAAATTCATACAGCCATTAGAGAAGTTTTTATTTCTAACTTAACTGTAGATATAATCAAAAATAATAAGCCGAGCACACCATATAAAAAACAACAAAATCCCACCACTTTCTAAAATTTGCATTAATAAAAGTTAAATTAATAATAGAAGCTATATTAAAAGTATAAAAGCAGCGCACATCTTGTTTTGTTAAGAAGCGGTATATTTACGAACATTAGGAACAGCCATATAACAAATTTCTATCCGTCTGTTCTTAACAGGATGGAGAGAAATTTGAAAGAACGAGTAAATAAATATATATTACTGAGAATCCTTAGTTTTTCAAGTATAATTTTTTATGTCTCATTTCTTTAGAATTTCAAAAGATATTTTATAAAACTTACTTAGTTGAGTTTGTACTCGATTATCCAATTAATTAAATATTTTTGTTAGATTGATTTTATTAACGATAATATATCATAAATAATAGATAAAATATCTACGGTCAATTTTTTGATCAAAAATAATATACGTTAGCTTTTTTTTATTATTCGTAATATGAACAGAAAACAATGGAATAACAACAAATACGTTTGATAAGTCAATTTCAGTTATATACTTGACATAATTTTGACCGATGTATATTAGTTGACCACAATGATTAAATGGTTTTACACTTCTAGATAGAGAAATTTTGCTTCGATTATTTTTTTCAATTAGTTTTTCTTATCTTTCGTAAAACTATCGTACATCTCTCACATGTACACATTGTGTCATTAAAAATATGACGTAAAAATGAAGGTCATACAGGGAATTAAAACATATGTTCTATGTTGTAACATGATTATGGAGGCGGATTTACTTTTACTATAATCTAAATGGTATTTGAGAAATTTCACATTCTATGTAAAAGAATTTCAGTATAAAATCGATTTTCATCAATTTATCAGTTCGAAACATGCAATATGAACACACACCGAAACAACTTGTCCATCTAATTTGATGTAAATTCCAATACGCCTTCGCAAATACAATAAAACTTGAGCGAAACAAAATGAAGCTCTTGCAAGAAAAAAAAAGGAACAAACGCAAACCTGCATTGTAACAACTTTTCTTTGTTGCCTGCTGCATGTATAAAAAATTATAAATAGTTCATTTGGTTATGCAAGATAGAACAACGGTGCTATATTGCACGCTTACATTGGTAATATATATTCTCTTTATCTTTCTCTTTCTCCTTTCAGTGTATGGTTTATACGAAATTTTTTTTTATTTCAACACGCAACGTAATATCGTCAAGAAACTTATATGAGCAACAACTTTACTTTTTTTTTTCTTTTTATACGTTTCTCTACATATAATAACAAACTGACTTCTGGTCCAATGTTGATATATTTTACTTCGTATCAACATATACATTTTAGTTGCATTCGATACAGATGAAATTGTCAATAGGTTCTGAAGAAAACAACAAAAAACGGAATAGCAAAAAAAAAGTATCGGTTTTCTTCGTTCATATGGCGATGATGTGTTAGAGACAGAAGATATCATCACTATTGAAGATGTACAAGTATTTATCAATACGAATACTCTGATTCTATCTAGTCAAAATGGATGTAAGAAAGTTTAAACATACTCTATTGCTTATTATTGACTTTTCATCGATAACGCTAGTCTTTTAAACAGATTTTTATCTGTTATGTATATTTTCTATATGATTAAACGCTACATTCAGTTTTGTATAAAATATTTCCTTGGAACATACTTAAATATTCGAGTTAATCATCTTTTTTATTATTGATTTTATGGATGATCTCCACCTTTATGTACTATTTACTATGTATAATATATCAGCAAGAGTATCGAAATATTTTTCATTTTAAATTCTATTTCTAAACTTAGTAAAAATATCACTTATCTATTCAATTTTACTTATTATATTCACAAAATACTTTACATTAGTCTTATGGTCAAAATACATGGTCATAACATAACTGATGTAAAGATAATAAATGTTGACTTAATGTAAAACTTGATCTTTTATTCTTTTAGAATTACGAACTACTTTATACGAATGTATATTCTGCTATAGATTGTTTCTAAAAAGAAAATCTGACGGTTTTAATCTCGATAACTAATGACACTTTCTACTGTTGACATTTGTAAAATTATTCTGTATAAAGATTTGTCAATATACTGACTGTCATAAGACGAAAGATAACAACCAATCTATAATTATTATAGATTAATTTTTAGTGTTCTTCAGAAAAAAAATTGTGGGGCGTATTAGAAAAACTTACGATATAAACAAATTAGAGATATCGTCATAAGATTTAAATATATAAAAATCAAGTATATTTTGAATACATACATACAGGTTAAACTAAGTTATACTGATGTTTTTTTTGAAGGAAAAGAAACGTAAATGAGAGTTTCACTCGGTCGGCTAAATTACTCAAAACAAGTGATTTATATTACTTCGTTTTCTTTTTTCAAATAATTGTGAAGACACGTGGAAGAAATAAATAAATAATAAATATTTTTTTTCACGGCGGTTGTACAAATATCAATTAAGAAAGAAGCTTAATAATGATGACAGTTTAAAAGCTTTTACGATACGTGTCTCAAGAGAAAGAAGAGGATGTTGGATTCAAAAATTGTACAATGGTACCATATTAAAAGTCAACTGAATAAACAACTGAGAAGAGGACAATTCGGATTTTGCTTTTAAAACATTAGGTAGAAAATGGGCTAATGAAGTTGATTTATTACTGTTCAATCATATCAATGATCATTTTTTAGCTGTTCAGCCTTAGGAGTTCCTTACGACGTATTAATACTGTCCCATCTCTTATCCATGTGATGAGTTATTCCATTCCATAGATGAAATTTTGAAGTCACTTAAAATACGGATTTTGACTAAAATAACGTAATATAATCTTGATTACTCCGTTTTCTATAATAATTGACTGGAGCAATTTGTTAGCAGTAAAGAAAGTGATTCACTAAATAATTAGTCCATTTTCTTCTCAGTGTTATTTAAACGAATGAATAATAAAAAAAATATGAAAATTCATTTTCTGTTCTTCATATTTGATGATAATTCCTTTTGTCATTCATATTTTATCCAAAAAAAGAACAAATAGAAGCATAAATGTGAGAGGTACACGACAGTAACTCTGTATTACTACGTGCATGCAATGCAGTATGTTGTCTTTCTTCACACAAACAAGATCAATTAAAAGAATATTAGAAAAATATTTAGTAATTGAAAACATTCTAACGTAATTCTAGTCCACATTCCCGACATTGATCAAGAAAATATTTTTACTATTAGGCTAACATCGGGAACTTACCGAAAAATTAAAATGATTTTCTATTAGTGTAAAATAAATATTACAATGTAGATACAATAATTTATTCGATTGCTTATATATAAGAATGTGTCCTAACAATTATTTTTACTAGCGTAGTATTTATTAATCATTTTTTTCTTCGCTCTTTCGACACACACACACATATCAATCACAATAAGAAACAATCATAAGAGATTGATATCTATAAAAGACGATATAGACAATTATTAGAAAATTTGAAATTAGGATTTATTAGTTGAACATTTTTTTGAATTTTGAATTTATTATGACTTTCTCTGTGTATTGATTTCATGATTCTTTTGATTATTCCAAAACATCACTTTCTCATTCTCAAGAATATTACTTACTCATATGAATGAGATTCACTATGAAATGCTTTTATTAAAATCTAACAAAAGAAGTACTAAAATATCATATAACTTGAAGTTGTTCTCTTTCATTAATAACTTAGTAATAAAGCGTCTTTATCATACGATAACGATAACATCTATTCAGGTATTTATTCATTTTTTTTCGAGTGTTTTTCTATTTGATTTTGTCTTATTGAGTGAATAATAACAATAACAAAAATAACTCACCTAAAAAAAGACGTGTTTCTCTTCAAATATAGAGTACAAGGTTAAATAGGGAATCTTTTCTAATGAAAAGACGAAGAGTACCTAACAGTAAAAGTTCCTTTGGTATTGTTAATAGCACGAAACACATTTAGTATTGTTGATATACATTACGTGGATATAAATCGAGGAGAACTAATTTCGTGCACAGAGTCTGCTTTCTGCACAAAAACAGATGTTTTAAATTTATCGATGGAAAAGAAGCGCAAAAAAAACATTTCTTAGATCAATAGTTTATAATAAC